CGTATCTGGCTTGATGATTGTCTCACTTTAAACTTCAGGTCAATAACCTGCTTAAAAAGCTGAGGGTTAGACTAGGCTTCTTTTTCAGAAACAAGTCCTGTTCTCACTTGAGGCCAGGAAAAGGCTAGTCACTGTGACCTTTTTACCTGTGCTGGACTATGGTGATCTGGTCTATATGAATGCACCTGCCCATTGCCTGAACAAGTTAAATGCCACCTATCAAAGTGCACTGAGATGTGTCACTAATTGTAAAGCACTTACTCATCACTGTACACTGTATACCAAGGCAGGTTTGCCATCACTTACTGTACGGAGGCTCAGTCATTGGTACACACTTATTATAAGCCATGTTGGGTAAACTCCCGGTATTATATCTGCCTCTCCTGATAACACAGAGAGTTGCAAGCAGCTATTGTCTGAGATCACATGATGTAGTGATGTTACATGTCCAAGAGCAAGGACAGTCTTAGGTAAGACAGCTTTTATGTGCGCAGCTCCACTTGCTTGGAACAATCTTCAGCTAGAATTGAAACTGAGCAATTTCATTCCTCTGCATGTTTTTAAAGCTAGTCTAAGTGAAATGCTGTTGGAAACTATGGGTACTTGTAAATGTCGATAAGTATGTAAATGTAACCTGTAAATGTTGTATGATGTCCTTTATTGTTTTATGTTGTTTCATGTTTCATGTGGAACCTATTTGCTGCAGGTTTCCCTTGAAAAAGAGATCTATGATCTCAATGGTACCAATCTGGTTAAATAAAGGTTTGAAATGAAATTGAAGTATAACTTCGAATATAAATGTTAATTTGTAATATCTTCACTGTTGTATTGGTACCGTTATAAAGTTTTATACCAGAGTACTTCCTCAATTTTGGAATGAGGCACATAGTATCTCCATAGTTTAAAATATGTGTTGTTAACAGGGGGAAACTCCTTTAGCCAAAGTAATGCAGCAATTTAGAACCCAGTTACAGGGTTTAATACACAATTATTGTAAAAACATATTTACGGTATGAACAGTGTTAATTGTAATGACTATGATAAGTCTATTTTGTATTCTCAGATGCTTCTGTTCCTGTCCCTGCTGATCTTCTGTGTGCCTTCAGGTGGCGACACCTCCCCAATCACCTGCTACAATGACAAAGGAGATGCTGTGGATTGGTAAATCACTGAGTGCTGCACAAGACAAGCCTCTGCAAATACACTAAACACCGAAAGCTTTCTAGATTAAACAATCATTTGCATATCAGTTTAATGTCAAGCTGTTTCATCTATATATTTTCTTGTGTCTCGTTCTCTGTGTCAGGTTCTATTTGTACAAGCTGCCTAAAGAACATGACACGGGTGAGATGTATTTACTGCTGGACAAAGGGAGTGAAGGCTGGACTAACGGGAAGGGGACAGTGAACGACACCACGGGCGCTCTGGGCAGGACCGTTGGACAACTCTACTCACAAGGAGAGGTCTGTATTGAAACTGGAACAAATACTTAGTCTAACTGAAGCTTTGTTTTACTGAGAGCTGGAGTCAGCATCCTCATACATGTGACACCGAGTTATTAAACAGTTTTCACTTCCTTATTATTCATGTTTTTAATATATGTATGATCATTGTCAAATGGCAATTCCAAAGCCTAATTTTTGTAATGACAGATAGGACTGTGCATGTTATCTAAAAGCTCTTTAAAATGCAAATGATACCCATTAAAAGTACAAATTCATCCCAGTATTTATTTGATAGATTTGATTTATTCTAAAACTGACAGTCATATAAAGTATAGCATAGTGGTTTTAAACCTTACTCTCAATGTTACATTTCTTTGCACATAGCTTTCTTGAATTTCCACAATATAACTATATTCAGCTCAAGCAATATCAGTAGTAAACACTTATCGTTTAAAATTTCGTTTTTTGCTGCTTTTAATGTTTACCGGTAGACCTAAGAATTCTTAGTTTGATGGAAAACCTTTTAAATGAAGATTCAACTTATTGTCATTACGTAGTACAGGAACTATGGAACAAAATGGTTTCTCTGCATTTGACCCATCCTAGTGTTAGGAGCAGTAAGCTGCCATTATGCACGGCACCCGGGGAGCAGTGTAGGGAACGGTGCCTTGCTCAGGGACACCTTGGTAGCACTTGGCCTTTCCGGGACTTGAACTGGCGACCTTCCAGTTGCCAAAGTCCCTATGGACTTCGCCACCACCGCAATGCTATGAGTGTGCCATAATTAGATCAAACCTGGAAACTGAGAATGAGAACAGAGAGTTGTTTATTTATATGCAGTCTGTGTCTGCTAACAGCTGTGGAAAGATAATATCGTAGTTTGCATGATCGTACAAAACACATGATTGCATACCTTACTTATCTTAACATTGTTATGCTGTTTCATTTCGTTTAACAGATGTGTGTGTTTGGAATGTGCCCAGGAATAACATTCTTAAATGTTAAACCTCTCCCTCCACAGAACACAGAGGTAGCATACATCCTTTACAATGACCAGAAGCCATCCGAGGACCTTGGTGACAGATGGGTTGACAACAGTGGGAGTAAAGGGGGGCACACAAAAGGTGAGTGGTCCAGCTCCATTACATGAATAGTTCATATATGCTGCAAGTGATTTGACGTTATACTCAAAATCAGCAAATATGGACAAGTTTGTAAGGACTATAGCTCTGTCAAAGACACAAGATTTCTTAAATTGAAGCTTTGTTACACACCTTAGATTCCTATGTCATTACAGCCTTACTTCTTGTATGGAAGTATGGGGAAATACAAATAAAAACAAATGCTTATCTAGTTGGTCAAAAACACTAAAACAGAACTCCTGACAGAGACTTGGATTAGATTTAGATTTAGATTTAAAGCAGCCCAACTCATGTTTAGTGCCCAAATAATTTCATTGCTTAAGTATGCAATGTAAAAAAGGACAATGTGAAAGGAGTCACTGGTAGTGATGAAGCTACAGATAATGATCACCTTTAACTGCAGCATCCTGGCCTCTTATTCGAGAGTTATGAGATATATGAGCATAATTCAGTTTAGTTAGTTCTGGTTTGGGTATCAACCACCTGGAGGGAAAACCTTGACGTTTTTTGTTGATCATTTTAATAATATGTTTGTTTCTCAGGTGTTGTCCTGCTGGATAAAAATCAGGGCTTCTGGTTGGTCCACAGCACCCCTCATTTCCCCCCTGTACGGCAGGCGGGAACGTTTTCTTACCCTTCTAGCGGTGTGAACAACGGGCAGAACTTCATCTGCGTCACCTACCCGCTCGAGCGCTTCCAGACCATCGGTAAGACTGGAGTCCTGCCATGAGGCTGGATAGCACAGGCAAAGATGGTATAAAATGCACGTGGCAGTAGGGATGATGGTGTTAAATCACAATAACAGTACGAGAGCTGGGAGCTAATAACGATTAATAATCCACCTTCTATCTGCTATTATATATTAATGAATAGTTTTAAGAATGAATTCATTTGAGAAACTCCTATCTATCAAATCTACATTGGTGAGAACTCTACTTTTCTATGCAAAATAGATAACAAATTACCCAATCTTGTAGCTTCTTAAATGATGATATTTTGTAAGAAAAGTCTGCAAGAGAACAAATAAGATTAGACTGATAGATTGGGTGTCGGATACATTCTGCGTTTAAAAAAAAATTACATTCAAGTTATCATATCAGTCGATCGTGTCAATATAATAGCAGTTCTTCCTTAAAGATAAAACATATTAAAATAGTAATAATAATAATAATAGATTTAATTGTTATTGCGCTAGTGCTCAAAGACGCTTATATTAAACCTATAATCATGTACAATATATCTGAGACTGTCTCTAAATGTTGATAAGAGCATTACCCGGCCTTCAAGAGCAGCTTGGTGTAAATACGTTTCAATACGTTTTAGTCTTAGTTTCCAATGAGGGTGTAATTGATGTTTATGAGGCTTTACCAAGAATATTCTTCCTTAATTATTTCATAGTCATTTGATGTCATTCTCTCTCATTTCAAAAGGGATTTCTTAAGTCATTATTCTCTTGGGGGTGCTTTATAATCCAGTCAGGTATTGACACAACAACAACAGGATAATGCAGATCTAGGATAATCAGCGTAAACAGGTGTCACCACCGTGTCACACGCTGCCTGTGCAGATCCCTGGCAGACTCACAAGTTGGCACCGTTGCTATGGCAGTGCTGGGGGTAATTTAATTAGATTGAAGTATGTTACCATAGAGATATTGGCCCTCACACTGCGGCATATATTTGCCTTATCAAATATTCGGCCTCTCTAGCTGAGGAGCTGAGAGCGTGACCGTGTCCTGGGTGACATGCATACAGAAGGTGTCACGTTTCATTTTAAAGCCCCTTGAAGCAGGAATCTGCACATTAATGAGGTGAAACTGAGATTCAGTTTAGTTTATCACTAAAATACTGTTCACCAAGTTCACAAATACTACCTCTCCAATGTGTTAGACCAGTATGTGGTCAGAAAAATGTGCTTGATAATGATTTAATAAGCCTAATTACTGATTTGATTTGTACAGGTACTTATGTTTACCAGTTAGAGCTGAATCAAAGAGCGTATAAGTCAATTGATATCATCTGCATCAACAACGATTTGAATAGTTGATTAAAAGGACTTATTTCAAGGCAGCACAACCACCATGTTAGAGTCTGTGTGTTAGCTAACATGCTGATGTTTAGCATGAAATATATTTACCATGCTAATCTTCGTAGTAATTTAACAAAAAGAGCAGCTGTAAACAAAAGAAATGTAAGCCGTTTTGAGAATATTTTGGCAAACATTGTATTGGATTAATTGAAAATGTAAGTTAGAAAAAACATATTATGTTTCATGAATTAAGGGTTCATGAATGTCAGTCCCAAACCCAAACCGTCAAACTCATGGTGGCCCTATCAGGGATGTCCAAACTAATGCCTGGGGGCCGTGGTAAAAATGTGTATTGGCCCGCAGCAAATTCTAAAAGTATAATGGACCATCATGACTGTTGTGCAGAATTTATAATTAATTTAAATAATTCTTCTATGCAAGCGTCACCTCGGACTCTCTAGAAGTTTTTATATTAACGGACTATTTAATTATAGAATACACAATGGGTCTATGCCTCTGATGATAAAGCAGTCTATTATGTAATGGATTGGTTAATCAATAATAATGGTTAGAGAGAAAATGTGCATTGTTTAAGTGAAATAAAGAACAATGTGCTTATTTTAATTTTAATACTCCTTTGTTCTAAAGAAAAGAAGGAGATTTACATCAAGAATTGTTGAAAGAGAGTAGCCTGCATGATAAATTATAAACATCCAAATTACTCCAATTTTACATGAATGATTTTTTAATTTATTTTTCAGTATCTATAATTAGATATGTGTCTGTGCACAGTGTAGCAGTGCAAGTCATGTAGACCCCTCTGCACCAACTTCACCAGGATAGTGCTGTTCATTTACTGTACCTAACAAGTAAAGTGCCTCCAGTGCTGTTAGCAGCGTTCACCTACAATCTAATTTGTTTTGCACCGCAGGAGAGCAGCTTCAGATCAATCAGCCTAATGTGTACGACTGCGACGTCCCAGAGTCCTTGGCGTCCCTCGTGCCCGCTCTGGCTGATCTCTGTGTGAAGAAACATCCCTCTGTTCACATCTTTCCACACATCAAACCTGTATCCAATCGCAGCGTGACTCTGACCTCAAAGGCTGGCACCAACTTCATCAGCTTTGCCAAAGGAGCTTCTTTTGACAACGGTACGACTTTGGAGAGATAAAATAAGTTCTAAAGTTCGTGTCATTTTTAGCTTTGAGTTTAATTACAGGTCTAAACTGGCCAGCCTGCATGATACGTTGTAATTAATGATAAAAGTTCTTCCTTTTTACTTTATCAACACATTAAACACATTAAACCTTTGATGACACAGCATGACTGTTTAAAGGTCACCTATTATGCAAAATCCACTTTCTCATGTCTTTTATACATAAACATGTGTCCCCTCTGTGTCAAGAGATTCTGAGAGTTTCAGGGGAAAAGATTCGCTCACTTTTTGTCCTGATCCATTAATATAAAAAAAATGAGCTGATCAGATTTTGGCCACTTTATGATGTCATAAAGTTTTTTTTGGCTTGTGTAACCATTAGCCAATCACCAACCAAGGTAACCAATCACCAACCGAGGTAACCCCCCCACCTATCACCTGAATCTCCTCCTAGAGCACCATTGTGTCCTTTTAACCAAATATCTCTCAGAGGGGTGTGGGTTCCTTATTTTCATCTAAAGTAACAGACAGAGAATCAGCACTTTTGAAACAGGCCTGAAACAGAGGGGATTATGGGACGCTGCAATGCATGATCTGTTTGGTGTTTGGAGCCAAACACTTCAGAGACATGTTTGTATATATCTGAGACCTTTAATACATTGATAAAAAAACTGTATAACCTTTTAAGATAATAAAAACATGCCTCTCTGCAGACCTGTACCACTCCTGGGTGGCCCCCAGCCTCCAGTCAGATCTCCTGGTCCAGTTCTGGATTCGCTCCAGAGGCATCCTCCCCTCCGACTGCTCGCTGGGATGGAAGGTCTTGGACATCAAGCTCATCAACCCGGGGCAGACGTTCGACTTCAAGAACAGCCAGGACCACTCTAAGTGGGCCGTCAGCACCACGGCGGGGGGGGCGGGGTCCGGAGGGGGATGGGTGTGTGTGGGAGACATCAACCGGAACCAGGCAGAGGAGAAGCGGGGCGGCGGCACGGTGTGTCTGCAGGACCCCGTGGTGTGGAAGGCGTACAGGACGGCGGCGCTGCAGTGCCAGGGCTGTGGAGGAGCAACGGGTCAGTGCTGACTCGCTGCTAGAGCATGATGGGATACCTGGGCCTGAGGAGAGGAACAACACGCATAAGATAATAACCGGCATGTGGGTTTTTAGGTGAAATGTTTGCACATGTTTCTTTTAATATTTGATTTAAATGAATGATCTTTTCTAAAATTGAAGGGCTGAAACTGATCCACATTTGGCAGGAAATGGTGAGTTCATGAGGGACTGCATCAATCAAAGTAAGAGGCGGATTAAAGTTTTTGGTACCCAAAGCAATTTGACTTCCAAATGATGATTGGATGTTATTAAGGGCTGTTACACCCTCCTCTTCAGACTAAAAGCATACAGAACAATGCTGGAGGAGGACAAATATGACAGGAAGCAGAGGGCTTCATTCAGTGTTAATCATAATTTTTAAAAAACCTCAAAGTGCTACTTTAAATTAATGCATTTTGATCAAGGGTCTTAAACACTGCTGTGAGCTCTTTTAACAGAAACTGAAGAGACATTGTGGTAACCGGTAGATATGAGCTACCTCGATAAATTACAACTTTTCTGATGATTTATTTTTCTATTCGCTTTTAAATGATTCGTGGGAACGTTCTCAGGGATTCTCAAACTTTGCAGGTTGAAAATATGATTTCACAATTTTCAACAATTTGGTATTATTAATTGTTACACTCAGCAGAAAGTGATGTTTTACAAATAGTTAAACTACAGATACTTTGTGTTTCATGAATGCTCGTATTATTAACTAGGTTGGTTATAACTGTTTATGAATTTCTTATGTGCTTTTCTGACATATCCAGAACTCTATTTTTGTGTCTTAGATTTTATAGTTGTATCATACATTCCTTGATTATGCTTGAAGGTGGAATTGCTGGCTTGAATCTGAATAAAGAATCTAAAACAGAGTATTATTTGATTGTACATTTATTTAGCTTGTTTACCTTTTCCATTAGAAAATAAATAAGGTGTGCATTTGAGGTATACAGGCAGCTTTCCTTATATTCATGGGATACTGAGCAGCATTACGTCTGTATTGAGCGTGGGATGTTTTACAGCAAATCAGTCAGAAGCATTGAAATTCATAGAAAAGTAAATTTATTACCACAAAAATAAGACATCCTGCATGTAGTGCATAAATAGCTTTGATGTGAAACTGCACAGCACTGAGGTGACTGCGATTCCCTCACGTACACTGTATACATTCTAAACACGGGAAAGATGAGCATCCTGTGGAGAAAGGCACTAAAACAATCAGTAGCATAGTATCATGCTAGTGCACGTCATCCATTATTACTCAGAATCCTCTCCCTGGTCCGCTATGCTCAAGCCTCAGCCTGTAAGGAGGCCTCACAAGCACTGAGCAGATACAGCCAGAGGTCACACGTGTTTCAAACCTACACGGAAGGTAACAGGTTCATTTATAACATGAGGCTTTGTACTGTATGTAAACAGTAGCTGCAGAGCTGGGTACGAATGTGCATGAATTACATTATGCTCTGTTGATGTAAGAGCTGTAAAACCTATGAAGGTAGATCAGATTTTCCTTAGTGCCTTCCTCATGGTTTTGGTACAGCAGTGAGGAACTGAAGCACAGCCACAAGCTTTAAAAGTGCTGCGAGGTTGTTTTTTAAAGCTGCAACAATCAATGTTTTGGCCACTAGAGGTCAGAAGATTTTTTTTAAACAAGCTACGACAGCTTATAAAGTTGCCAAACAGCTGCCTAATTATGCAACAAGCTGAAGAGGAAGTGTTTATCTGGAGTTGTATTACCGTCAGACTGATAACACAAGTGCTTATCACTCTCCTTTAAGGGGTAGTTTTGTCTAAAACAACTCTTGAGAAAAGATATCTTTCTCTTTAGCTGACATTGTTTCACCAGCAAATCTCTAACTGTGTGTGTCTGCTGTGGACAGGTGGCATTCAGGGGCTTCACCCAACAGCTGCTGCTGAAACAGGGTTGATAACAGCTGTGAGAATCACCATGAAGGAACGTTCTGTGTTCTGCAGGACAAAACGTGTTGCATAGCTGTAGTCAATCATTATTTTTAGGTCAGTCAAAACAAGCAGCTCATTTCAAATAAAAAATAAATTATTTTTGATTGATTAATTAAATTTAAAATCTTGCAGGTATTTGATGCATTTTTTCTTTTAGACAATTCGGACACATGGACCTGAAGCTCCTCGCCGGTGTAAACACGATGTGGACATCTTTCAGACGTACAAAATATATAAATATGTACAAAACATATATAGGTCTCATTTGTCAAGCTCCAGTGTTTTTTCTACAATGGTGCACTCTCACTATGTCTTTGGGCTCTCCTCATGTGTGCTCTTCACCAAGAACTCGTCTGACAGGCTCTGTATATTTAGATTTCCTCATGCTTCTTCCCGAATAAACACTCTCTCCTTAATCCTTCATCAGCATCTCAGGTGTTTACAGACGTTCTGATCCATTAAATCCTCTTTTTACATTTCGAAGCTTCGCTCACAACTGAGGTACGCAACGACAAGGGGATTTCCGGATTGCGGATAGAAGCAATTAAAACAGATCTTATTCATTGAGATGGAATGAAAAATATGCATCAAGTGTCCCTGACTGGGACTCTAGAGCCAGCACCAAAAGCACTCGGATAAAGGCTTCCATTGCTCTTTCTCTTGGTGTAAAGTTATGCATACTGTGTGGAGAAGAGGAAACGGACAGTTCTTCAGCAGCAGATTCAGACGTGGTCCTGGTCTTGGTGTTTTGGTAGAAAAAGCTATGGAGGAGCATGAGGGAAAGGCATGTGTGAAAGGCCACATTTACTGTTTGTGAGGAGAAAACCCCGTCACTGTGGACAAGGTCGGGTTGAGGAAAGTCCGATGTCAAAAGAGTGTCCGGACCAGTCTCCTCCCCTTGGCTTTGATTCGAGGAAACGTGGCGCTTGACTCGGTGCTGAGCGGCGATGAGCCCAGAGGAGTGTTCCCGCCTTTCCTCCTCAAAAGGAAGTCAACACTAGATGATGTCATGGCATAGAAGACATTTCCTGTAGCAGGGATGATCAGCTCTGTGTTCAGAGAAGAAGAGAGAGAAATAAATGAATACATACGACAGGGTTCGATAAAGCTTCTCCAAAGCTGCAGCTGCGCAACAAAAACCTAAAGTTAACCAAAGTTATAGATAGCAGAAGTAGAAATACAATTAACAAGATGATCTCAGTTTTCGTCAATTTTTATAAGTAGACCACCTACCACAGTACCAGATACCTCTTTCATTTCGTATCGTCCCTTTTAAAACATAAAAATACTGCTCCTTAGTTTTTGTTGACCATGGTGCTTTTAGTTTTTTACTTATTGTGTTTTTTATTATGAATAACTTTTGCCTACTTTGTTATTTTCTTAATATGCAAGTCTATTCTCTTTACTTTATTCTCTTATACTTATAATACTTCTGCTGTGGTAATAATATCAATATCCCTGTTGCGGGATGAATTAAGGAATTCTTTTTTTTTGTTGCACTGGAGTCACGTGTGTCTATACCTTTTCCTTCAGGCAGAAGTTGGATCAGCTCATATCTGGACGTCTGTTTGGGGTCCTGATTGTGCTTCTCTAAGGCAGAGCTGATGACGGTGGGTGTCTTGTCATTGCTGGTGACCTGAGGGGAGAGAGGAGGATAACAATGACACTGGGACAGCTTGATTTGCACTAATGATATCCTGGCTCCATTGAAACCAAGGATCTGATCCTGATGACTATCATTACGGGATCCTCGCAAATAAGAAGAAAGGCCGTAAGTGCAGCATGTCGCAGATAATTCGGGACCAGAGCTTTTCTCATTACAGCTGTTAATAAAATAGCTTGAAAAAGTACCAGTATGCTTCGGTATAAGTTTCCATCGTGCAGGTCCATCCGTATCCTGATGATTTGCATGTCAGGCCCCGACCCTTGGATGTTGTACGTGGGGTTGTTGCCGCAGGAGACTGATCGGCGGTGTGATTTTGTGGGAGTGGTTGGGGTCAACGTGGCAGGGGTGGATTCAATGGTTGACGACGTGTCAACATCCAGACAGGACACAGACGGAGATCTCATATGCTGCAATCAGAAAAACAGTTTTTCTTGTATAACTTGCAAGTTCAGTACAAAGCTTTTTAGCAGATTTAGGCAAAATAAAAGAGTCGTTTCTGAATATGTCTGTGAAACAAGCTAATACAAATTGGCCTTTAAGCACAAATCAAACTGTATTACCTTTGTGAGTTTTGAGAGCAGATGATTGACAGGGGAGGGAAAGTCAAAGAGGCTGTCACTGTCACCCGTCAGGCTGCTCCGAGAGTTACTCAGGCTGAAAGACACGAGAAAGAACATTCAAATTAGGGTTGAAAAGTAGTGCTTTTATTATCAGTGATTAATCAATCTTATTTTTTAAATGAATCAGAAAAAGGCCAGAAAAAGGGATCAAAAGCAAAACAAATGTATGTGTGGTGTATTGGTAATCTATCTGTTTTATGTGTGTGAGAGCAGTCCGTATAGCTTACTCTCGGCACTGTGTGATGATGACTGTGGGAGTAAGGCCACGGGGGCTGGGCTCGCCAGGGGCTTCAATTTCACTGGACAGCCTGTAACTGAATTACAATATCAACAAGATCAAATATTTGTAACACGTCATACAAATGAATTTTCTTTATACAGAATATACATGTATATATATATATATATGTACCTCTGCTCCTCTGTTAGTGTAGGGACGCTCTGATACCACTGAGTGAAGGCCTCATCACTGGTGAACACACAGTTTTTGCAGGAAGACTGCAGGAGACGGATTTGAGCCAAAACCTCAAACTCCTGTTAACAAAGAATCACCTAAAGGTTACATAATAAAACAAAATGACCTATGTTGGCTGACCTGGTATTACAGTGCTAGTTTTATTTATTTGTTCTGCACCACAAGGCCCTTTCCACTCTCCCTCCAATATTATTTTACCTCTTTTCAATATATTACGCTTTATCTAAAAAATGATCTCTTCTTTTTTTCACAGGGTCACGTGACTTTTTAATGATTTCACAGAAACAGAGCATTAGTCAAGAGCATCAGCTCAACCTTTTATCTCTCACACCGATTGCATCACTCACCCTTCTCCTTTTGTCAAAGTTGATGTAGCCGTTCTGTGAAGGGAGTGACAGGATGTGTTAGCTCAGTTTGATAATTGTAAAATACTGAGCAACTTTATGACCAACTTTCCCTTTGGTAGAGATAGGAGCAACTTACATCCAGCCTGTCTTTGACCGCAGTGTCCAGCATGGTGAGGTCAGTGAGGAAGATGCCCAGGTAGGGCACTGTGCCCTGGGCATTAGACTGTAAAAAAAAAGAAAAAAGGCAAGTGTTTCATCAGTTCCCCAGAGGTTTCTATTCACTTTGTCACGAGCCCGCCCAACGAAACATTACAAAGCGGCGGCCTGTAGCTATTTTTCAAACAATGGCTCAGGATTCAGCACATCACACACGACAGCCCTCTGTTCCAGTCCACCGCTGCATGCCCTCCATCAAACCTCTCAAACACCCCCCTCTTAACAGAAGTGACATCAGTATCAATGACTGAATGTACTCTTTTTAGAAAAACTGTGATTTTAAAAACTATTCATGTTTTTAACAATAATGTCTTTCATGCGTGTGACGTACCAAACCTATATTGAATATCCATGACAGGCCCTTCAACTACATCTCCTTGCAATTTTAAACACAGAACACTTTTCAAAAGATATTGTATCACATTTTGTCCCCTAACTTTCACAATACTAATGACACTTTTGCAGGGGTCTTACATCATTCATAAATGTCCCAAGGTCTCCCATAAAGGCCTGTGGTGGTGTATAACCCTTCAGGCTAAAACAATTAGTATGCACACTAGGCGTGGGCTGTAAAGTTAGTGAAGAAAGTTTCTTTTTTATTGGGCTTTAAGATCTGATGCTTTACCTCAACGACAAAGGTTGAGGTCATTTCTTATTTCTGATATGTCTTGGTGATCTGACACGACACTGAGAATGATTTACAAATGTTAAACTGAGCAAAGTGTTTAAAGACACTTATTAGAAACATTTCAGCCATATACACCTGGGTGCTGCTGGCCTTCGCATCAACACTCTTTGGCTTTTAGCAGATTGTTAGAGAGTTCATTTCTTAATGGTCAACCATGTGACCTTCCACAAACAACACTGTCTCCTTAAAAGCGAAACCTCCATCATTTCACACAAGTCTTTCTTTCCACTCTACCTACCCGATTAACTAGTTTGTTGTTGATCTTGTTGTCAATGTTGGCGAACTTGGATGTGCCCTCCTGAAACACAAAAACAAGGAAAGATTTCAAGTTCAATCTTGACCATGGAATCAATTGTTGAGAGAACAGCCTCGCCACAAAGTCAAAGCATATATGCGATCAGAAATAAATAAACCATTACAATAAAAATACCACAATCTAGTCCTGCTGTAGGATCAATCTTAATAATGCTTTATAGTTATATTATTTCATAAAATTCTTCAATGACAGTGTTGTGTATTATTTCTTTCCCTAAACGTTTAGTAAGTCTTTCATTAGTCTGAATCACTCATCTCACTCTGTCTGCTTGTGGAAGTCATTTTTAGACAAGCTGAGAGATAAAAGGGAAGCAAGTTGCTGTGCTGAGGAAAATCAAAAGGGCAACAGACGGCGATGGTGTTCTCTGGCATCAAAGCTTGTAGTGAAGCTTTCAAAATGAAAGCATATGTTTGGATGAATTCCTTTGGGGGTATGATGAGTAAAATCACAACTAATGCGAAAGCATTGATGCCCGCATTGCACCATCACAGCAGATCAAAACACAACTAATCCTGTCAACTTCCCCAACTCTCTGACACAGTGCAAACTAAATATAATATACGTCTTCAGATGGGTGTCTCGCACTGAAATGGAAGTGTTGACAGAATAAGGGCATTTCTACTCAACCAGATTAGACTGGTTTGGTTCCTGGTCTTTTAAAGCAGTCGTATATCTCTTCTGAGTGTTGTTTTCAGCCGAGGAGAATGCTTGGATTCAGATTGTGCCGATTTAACAAATGTGGTCCAGTAGTGGCTCTTGACAGACACATTAATAAATGTCTCATACTGCTGTTTAGATTATGGGATGTGTGTCAGCAGGATGTGAGATGTAAGTGCAGAGGAGTCACATGGTTTTTCAGAGCATTGTGTGCTTGCAGTAAGCATGTGTGTTGCTTTTAGCCATGCTAACCGTTAGACTCTAGGCAAAGCATGTCAGAAGTGCTTTGTATGTTCACCACTTGACATACTGTATCTTGACTGTTGCTCGATGGGTTCAGATGACATTTTGTACAGATATTCATGGTTCCAAGAGGAATTATCCTGTTGATGTTGGTGACCGCCTGACTTTTACTCTAGCACCATTATAAAGCCACATTTGTCCAATATAATGGTTTATGATCACACACTGCAAAACGAATGACATTCCCATTAACATTTGTGAGCAAACCGAGCTTACACACTAAATTAAGATAATTAACTTACTAAACATTATACCTTCTTAACAATGGTGTGTTAGTTCTACCATTGTTTACATTATTATTTAGCTCACAACTCTAAGTACAGCATCACACAGCTTTCTTTTTCCTGTTTTCCACGCAGATTAGCTCATACAATAAACAGTCATTTTCTAAAATCAGGTTGTACACTGTGATTATGTTGTATTACGATTGATAGCTGAATAATACAGTCCAAAGTAAAGATCTGCGTACAGTAAAGAGTGTCCTTCTTTCTGTATAATACATTAATGATGTAGGACTAAACATCGTACACACAGGTTTAAACTTCAAGTGTTTCTAGTAAGGGGGGAAAGTATTTTTGAAGGCAGCTGCCAAGAGCAACACAGATCCTAGTGACAACAGGCCTCAAACAAAACCAAGACATCAGAAAACAGTTGTCGAAATCTGATACCCAAACTGCTTCTTCAGCTTTAAGCAACCAGTACGTTTTAACCAACACACAAGCAGTCAATTGACAAGACATCCATAAAACACATAATCAAACCTTTCGCTTTAAAGCGTCCTGACTCGGCTAGAAACGAGCCGCTGCATGCCATAAATAAAATATCAAATTACAGTATATAACATTTCCTTTGTGACTCTGTTTTTGGCGTGGCAGACACGTACCTCCTTGAGGAGTTCTCTGCTTTGTGAGTAGTTGTCCTTTTCTGAGAAGATTTCTGACAGCTCCTCGTACCTCCTCACTGCCTCCCTGTCAAATGACCAAAACATTGAATTTAATAGGATTTCCGTTATTATTCATATGTCAAATTTATAAATGCAATAAAGACATTTAGCAGAAACTGAGTTTAAATAGTCTGCATTATCAAAATGTAATTCTTGAAAACAGAAACTGATTCTGGGACGATGCCATGACTGAAAGTACATTTGGTTTATGTTGAGGAGACAACACTGCTGAAGAGGCAATATCTCCGACAATTTTATACCACTTCGTCTTTATATGGTTCACTTCAGAGTTATTTACAAGGTTGACTTGGTGTAGAACAAATTCAATGTCTGTAGGGACACATCCTGCATTGCTGTTTTAAGCTGAAGAAACTGCCTTCCAGGTCCTAAATAAACAACACATTCACAGTTAATATAATACTTTATATGTAAGGTAGCTTTTTTTTAAATGTATTTTTAACACATGATCAAAGACATAACACGTTCTTGGCATCCAAAAATAACTACATCACGTACAGTACATCACAGAAAGACGAGGGTCAGCTTTAATGATTTACTATAAGCTACTTTTGAATATTTTCAAGCACCACACAATAGCAGGGCTGAAAACCAACAACAGTTTTGACTATTGATTAATCTGAGGATTCTTTTCTTGATTCATTTATAATTGTCCTGTATTTGTCAGAACATAGTGAAAAATACATTCGTCAGTCGAAAAACAAAAATGATAAGTAATGATTTTCTTTCATATAAATCTGTAGAAATAGCAAGGCTCAAATGAAAGAAGATTATATTGGGATTGTTGTTGTAAAAAGGTTGGTTTGTATTTTAATCAATAGACAAATAGATCAGTTTTTTATAGATCATTTTGCTCTACACTATATTAAGTTAAAAAATAATATTATATAATATGTATTTTTTGTTTAGTTTTTATCTTGATGTCTCATGCTGTCTTTGTCTTCTAATATATTGAAAACATGTTGCAAATAAGTGTGTGCACCTGAACATGTGATCTATAGATTTTAGTTTCTGTATCTAATAATCCATTTATAAAATGAATCATTAAATCAGTAATGTCCTTAACAACAAAACGTTGTGTTGTTCAGCTGCACACCTGTCAGTTTCCTGCCAAGTCTTCCTCAGCCGGTGGATGGGATTACTCTGCAGGGCCGACACGATGGCATACAGCGAGGAGAAGTTCTTCCTGGCTCGGCACTCCTGTTGAAAGCACACACAGATGAACGCACTCATTTGCATGCCCACACTTACACACACTCACTGTAACTGAGAACACCTGTGGTGTGGCTCTGGCTGGTATTGAGTTACTGTGTCAGCCTGAGGAGCTGAATAATGCATAGTGCTAAAGAGGTTTTGTCCCAAAAGAACCCTGCGGCGTGCTTAGGACGGCACTTTGGCAGCAAACCATTGATACCTCGCTTTGCCAAAGAGGATGTTGGAGTGTGTGCGAGTGTGTGTATGTGATGACAAATGCAGTTTCCTACAGGAATACTGGAGAGAAGCAGTATTTTATTCAAAGGCAAAAATGCGTGGAGAGGAATAAATCTCTTTAATATTTTTAAATAAACTGATTGTTGTGCACAATATCCACAAAGCTGTGACCGAACCCAGCTAATCCACATTAATCTTCTACTATACTGCAATTTGTATGCAGACTTTAAAGCTTTACTTTTTGCCTAAAGGTCATACATCACATTGTTTGGACTCTTTTTCTTGTATGAACTAACAACTGGTCATGCTGAGGATATTTTGCTATTTTATTTCCTGGTTTATTTCCTGATTTCCAAGGTGTACTAGAAACTGCAAGTCTACTTCGAGTCTAACAAAGTTGCTGATTTTTTAGAATCTTTCTTGTTGTCCTCAGCAAAGAAGTACCACAAGCTGCGGTCAAATAGTTTGTTGTTTGCTGGCGCTCTGTCCAGAAGACGACCATACATGTGTTCTTAATAATGTGTTTTGCTCGCAGATATTAAAGTGAAAATACAGTCAGAGAAGTAACCAAGCTGACTGTGAACTTGTAATAGTGTGTGCATAGTCGGAGCTGAAAACAGGATTATGTTTTGGGGATTAAAGGGGGTTTAGTGAAGTAAAAATGCACAGTTGAGGATTTTGAAAGACTTGCAACCCCGACTGACATACTGCTAACAATTTCATTTAAAGACCAGCAACATTTCTTTTTTTAATTCTAGCCTGTACAAATGGCATAAAATCCTGCATTTTCTAAGCTGTGACCTTCTCTTTTTTTCACACTGACCTCTGCCACGCTGATCCATTTCTCCAGCAGCCGGGCTCTCTGTTGGCTGCGCAGATTTGTGGGCCAAAGGCAGGATGCTAAAACCGCATTGGCCAGCTTGTTGAACTGTCGTATGGTGGCCCGGACAGACCAACAAACGCCTTCCCTGCCCTTCTTGTCCCTCTGAGACCACAGGGAGCCGAGGCAGTGGTACGGGACAAGACGGACAAACAGCTCCTGTTAAGAGACAGCATAGATCAATAAATACCAGCCTGTTTACCAAAAATCACATCAATCCATGTGACCCATACTGTGAGGTCTTTCTGCTTAGATTTCCTGCTGACAGAGTTTGGGTTTATGTGGGTGGCACAATTTCTTGTTTGTGTTTGCGGCCAAGGCGGCTCATGTTCCTCTACTTTAATTCTGTGTTTTCTAAACAACTGCAGTTGCTGGTGTTAAAAGCAAGATCGGCAAGTAATTGACAATAGATGGAGAGGAAATACAGGAGGAACAATTTAAATGTATCCATATCAGATGATCAAAAGGTCATCATAACACTAACCAGGATATAGCAAAAGAGCAAGTTATGACGGAAGAAATCAGACTGTATGAAACTACACATATTCATTCAAATTATATATCAAGCAAAGAGAAAATGTACCTAAGTCTTATAATGAGGATCTGAGACTGCCAAGGCACACNGATAGCAGCTTAGTTATCTCAGGAACACCAGAGGATAAATATGACATTTAAATGAGAAAATGTGTTTGTTATTGAGAGATAATGAGCTACTTCACTCATGACCTCGAGATTTCAGGATGAGAAAACAAGATTAAGAGTTAATCAGGGTTCATACACTTTTTCACCAATGATTTTCAATGACTTCTCCATGACCTTTACCTAATTTTCAATGATCAAGAAATTACTCTTTCTCAGCGGCAGCACTGAAAGTGGCTTATTTTAACATGGAACAGGAAAATAAGGTCTGCATTATGAAACATGTTGTGCCTATCTAAAACAAATCCAATAGTTGGCTTACTAGCTTCTACACGCTAAAGCAATTAACATCTCTCACCAGCAAAATACCTCGACAGTTAAATACCTTTTTACGTTTCATTGCTATACGATATATACGATAATTTCTTATCATTATAGTGTTACTATTTCGGCGATTAGATAAAATATAAATTATATTTGATGCAGCTTTAGTTACATTTCCATGACTTTTCCAAAACTTTGGGAAAAATATAACTTTTCCAGGGCCTGGAATTAGCATTTTGAATTTCCATGACTTTTCCAGGTTTTTAATGACCGTAAGAACCCTGGTTAGTGTATTTGAACCTGTACTAAGGCTGAGCAGTGCTTTGAACAAAATAATAATGCTAACATGCTGATGTTTAGCATGTATAATGCTAACCATGTTCGGCATTTGGCTATGTTAGCAGGCGTACCATTTCTAATTAGCAATAAACAAAGAATACAGCAATTATTGCAAGCATGGCCACCCTTGGCTTTCAAAGCAGATTAGTGTCCAGAAAACTTAAGCAAAGTGTTGGATTTTGTTAAGCAATTTTTTCTCTTTTCTTTAAGAAAGAAAGCCACAACCAGCCCATGTTGTAATTTGTTGTATTTTGCAGCCTGGGATTTACACTGAGCAGACAAGCACATTTCTACATGAAAACCTCCTCTAGTTTTAACTGGTGTCATGTAAGTCCCAGTTTATTTACGGACCTCTATGGGAGTCAGGGAGCAGGGCTTTCTCGCTGAGATCCTCTGCGATCCTGAGGAGGCGATCACGGAGTTCGGCTGCAGACGAGGAGTCCTGGGGGAAAAGGGGAGCGAGGCGCAGCAGGTGAGACGGCTCCCCCAAACTCTTAAAGTCTTCAGGATACTCAGAGAGCCACGTGCTGAACACCGTACACACCGCTCTGGAGGAATGAAGAAATGATTTTGAGGGATTTAGGGAATGCAATTCTAAAATGTATAGGTCAACATCAGAAACATGATCGTTTTTTGTTTTTAAGCCTTGACCTCCAGACAGTTCAGAGTTCTGAAAACAAAAAGGTTCCTTAGAACACTGCGTCGATAAATCAGATCATCAGCAAAGGAAAGAAACATTTTAAAATCAATCCGAGAGTATCCTTGAAGAAAAATAATCTGTTTTAAATTCTGATTGCCAGAAGCAGAAAAACAAGCTGTTGCAGATTGGAATTGATTGAATATATTGATATTGAGGTTGCCAATAAATCACATTCTCAAGGGGTTTAAAGTAGAAAAGCAGCTTAGAGATAAGTCTATAATTTAGTGGATATGTTGTAAGATAAAGATTGTGTTGGTTCTTACAGTCTATGTTGAAACTCAGAGTAAAGAGCTGGTAGAGAGTTTGCATTTCTTGTTGCTAGCTTTAGTGTTGGTGTCTTCTGCTGATGTTCACTTGTTTTATTTAAATGTGTAATTAAAAAAAGATAATGAAACAATAAGGAGTAACTTCTTTCATCATAGCTTTAGTTTTTAGAAGATGTATATTTGGCATCGGTAGCTCCACACTTATATTTAAAGGGGACCTATTATGCAAAATGCACATTTTGATGTATTTTATACATAAATATGTGTCCCCGGTGTGTCAGGGAACTCACAAAGTGTCAGAAAACAAAACCCTCTCTCTTTTCCTCCGTACCCACATCTAAAAAAAAAAAAAGGGGGGGTGGTAACAAGCAGATCCAGAATTTTCGCTCTTATAACGTCATTGGCAACATCCGGCTGACGTAACACGACCCAACCATAGGCCCCAACCTATGGTCTCCGGCACATGTGACACGTCCCAACCTATATTCTCCGGCACACATGACACGTCCAAACCTATCGTCTCCGTATACAGTCGCAGCTGTGTGTCTGTGTATTCAGCAGGATGTCTGCAGGAGGCTTAGAGTAAAGTTGTTGTATATATAATACATATAATCTATCAATCAATAGGATACGGCTGTAGTAGGCCTAGGGCCTTTTAGTCGCTCATAAATAAGTAGATCGCTGTTCTTTATATACTATGGATGCTGGCAACAGTCACATAGTCCATAGTGAAGGTGATGTTTGACCAGTAATAGTGTAAATAATAAGCACTGTTACATTACATGTCATTTGTTAGACGCTTGAATCCAAAGCGACTTACATACATTCAGTACTGTGGGCAATCCCCACAGGAGCAATTTGGGTGAAGTGTCATGTAAGTCGCTTTGGATTCAAGCGTCTAACAAATGACATGTAATGTAACNAGTATATTTCTACCAAAGTCACTATTTGCATTGTTTTTGTTAGCATCTGGTTAGCTTAACGGATATTAAAAGCTGTTTCTAAAACAAGGAAAGGGAGAGCTCTGTCCTGTCAGACTGAGAGATAACTACAGCTCAGTGAGGTAAGGGACTCTCTGTTTAGATAGTTAACTTTAGTCTTATCTCAGTGGGTCTCAAACGTTTTGGTCACCATTTATGAGAATAAATGAAAAACAGTTATAAAATACTATATGACAGTAAAACAAGAATACAGTTTAAAGGGTGAGTGATTTGTAAAATATCCATAAAGAAAAAGAAAATCTGTTTACCATAAATTTATTTGGCTCTCCAAGTGCACCAGGTTGATGCATTTAACTTCAATATTTAAATAAAAAAAATCTTCCCGGGGGAGCAGGCCCCCGGACCCCCTAGAGGAGGTGAGGACCCCCCCCCCCACTTATAAAATAGCACTTTACCTCTGCTTACACCTATATGCCATTTTATATGCTGTGAGCTGATTATCGAGCCTTCATTGTAAGAGTCGCAGGTACACTGTGTATGTGCTTATTCCACTGTAGCGCCCGGTACATTAATGGGAAACCCTAGTTTGTGCATGTTCAATACATTTGTAACACTATACACATGAACGTTTCTTTTTTCGGTTCACCAAAAAAAAGATCTCACTCCAAGCTGAACTCAAATGTTGGCAGCCCTGGTATTAAAGATATTTCTATTTTTTGGTGTATTGATTGAGTGGTCGACCAACCAACAGACATTGCCGTCTTTGTAGTCACACTGCTTAATAGCACAGATAAATGGTTACATTAGAGTCTGCCAACTGGGTGATCAATCCACTGTACGTCTAATTTCCAATTTGCACAAAATAAACAGATGTTAGTTTAGCCTTGCTATTTGTCAAGCTCCAATTTAAACAGCATTAGCTAGATTCATTGTTTAATTTAATTTAGAGACACTTCCACAGTTGAGGAAGCACCATGTGCCAGTTTAAAAAACTGCAAGATAATTCAGCAAAACGCTAGTGAAAGCTTGTTCTGTCATAAAGTCTATGTTAAATAATGGAGGCCTTTGCATGAAACAGCTGTTTGGAAAGTTTTTCTGAAGACGCAACACACAGGAGAGATTTGACTCCTGGCAGTGTTACCTGTAAACATCATGATAATGCCTTGGAGAAAAAGCAACTAAGCCATAAATAAATGTATCACAAAGCATTATTTATGACATAGCAGATGCGCAAATTTGAAGTTGAATAATTGTTATGTTTCCTCATTTTCTCTTTCTGCTTCACTAACAGATTGGAGAACCCACCTGGGGAAACTGAGAGGAGTCACATAAGACAATCCTTCAACAGGTGAGCTTATGAAGGCTACCCAAAATATTTTAGCAACGTTTACTGTGATATGCTGTATGTTGACGCCCCTTTGTAGCGTCACGCAGCTTTCCCCTGCTACTGCTGAGAGAGATTTCTCAGCTAAACGCTGCAGTGATTAAATGCCATGTTATGCTAATGCTCCTAACCACTCCAAGCTTTATTTCTGAAACAGTGTGGAGCTCAAACCTTTCTCTCTTGCAGGGTTTACCACAAGGACATTACGTTACATATTCTCTCCAGTAGCCTACAGCGTTAGCTCCATGGTTAGCTCTGAGTGTTAGCATGCTTGCTAATGTAAACACACAGCATATTACTCCACACGGCGCGCATTGTTTCTGATACTACTCAACATGTTGACATGTTTAGCGCTAGAAAAGGGGGGGAGGTTGTGGCTCAGTGGCAGTGGCGGCGCCAGGGTATGGCTGGGGTAGGCTACAGCCATACCAATAAATGGCTTAGCCCCACCATGAAAAATGATGTTAAAGTAAGCAAAATAAAGTCTGTAAAATCGCGCGGAGTAAATTGCACAGACGGCAGTTAGTAAGATTGATTTCAGTAGCCACTTGTCTGGAAATACCGAAGACTAGAAACGGTTTTGAAAACTTTTGTCACGTAGTGATCGTCTTCTCAATATAACATCTTTGATAAGGTCTTCTGGCCAATCAGAATCACGATAACGGCGTGGTGTGTTGTTGCAGGAAGTCCCGAAGGAGAATACTTTTGCGCAGATATCTCTCTAGGGCTCTGCTTTTGCGGTAGTACATCTCTATATACATCGATACAACATAACGTGTTGATAGAAATCAACACGTAATGAAATAAGACCCCACGGTTTGATGATTGATAGGTGTGTGTAATTCACACAGCCTATTCCCTCTTCAGTGAGGAGCAGCAGGTTCAGGTTTCAGAACAAAGTAACAAAAAACAAAAATGGCATTCATTTGTTTAAATATGTCGTGTAGTAATAGATTTATTTATTTTTCTTCTCAAGAGAGTACCAGAATGTGTATTTTATGTTAGTATTTCAAAAAATCTCCTGGGGCAGGATTCCCCCAGACCCCCCTGCAGGGGGTGGGTTTTCAGCATGTCAACTCTTTCACCTGTGGGGAAATTGCAGGATTGGCTCCAGGTCGTCCTTTTTATTTAGGACAAGACAAATGTGCTTTTTTATTTCCTACAGTTCAATTTGGATTGAGACAGGGAAATAATCTAAACCTCACGCGTGGCGTTTCACTGTCAAGGGGAGCGTGTATGTAATTACATTGCAAATACTGACTTGAGCCCCACCACTGTATAGAGTGGCGAAGTCCCTCCCCTTCCGGGGGAGCTCCATGGGACCTTATTTCGGAAAAATTATGTATTGAAGTCAATGGAGAGAGAAAGATTATCTTTCGATCCCGTTTGAATTGTGCCACGAATTACACATATGATGTTTGTCAATTTAACCTGTTAAGCCCCAAGGTCTCCGCCGGCGGGTACTTTTTTTTCTTCTTTTCACGACACTGTGTCTCAGGGGATCTTAATATTTAAGAACCTATTAATGTTTTATACAAGATTAGCGGGAATAATCTCNTATATCCTCTGAAACCAAAGCTCAAACAAAAACCCTCCCTAACTAAACTACTCAGAACTGGACAAAACAGAATACAGGGGTGGCAACAATCCGCTAACCTAGTGTGTCTAAACATTAGTTACCTAAGTGATGAGAAATGTACAGGGTACCCCAGACTTACCTAACTCCTCCACCTCCCAACTTATTCACAAAGGTCAGACAAAACAAAGTAGCGTGAGTTTCTAACAAGGCAGTCAAATTCAGGCTCCTCAGTCAGCAACAGGCCCAGGGTGAGGGTTATGGCTGGAAAGGATCCGTCTTGTGTAAAACTCTCGCGAGAGTTTGCAATGTCACGTGGCTGAATGTTTACGTTTGCCAGGCAGCCTTTCAGTTACGATCGTTAACATCAGTGGGCCACAGCAAATGATGGTGAGAAGCTAAACTATCTATTAATTATGTCAATGACAGGAAGTGTGATTGTTGAAATAGGGTGGTAGGGTCTTGCTGTTCAAAGAAGAATGACAACACTGTAGATCACCAACACTATGGTTTATTTTTTATTCACAGGCAAATCAACGTTGTCGCAGTAAAAGTCCCAAGATAGCTCCTGGTGCAATACAATGTTCCCTTTCAGTGTTTCACTATTATGTCTGATGTTTCTCTATTAATATTGCTGCTGCATTAATGTGTATGTTGCATGTTACTGCTGTAGGTTTGTTTCCGAGCCGCTCCAACGAGAGTTACAACGAGAACGTTACGTCATATTTACACAAGACGGATCCTTTCTAGCCATAACCGACTTGCTCTGGAGGCTCGCTCACATGAGACGTTGAAATCTCGCGGGACAAAGACGCCCGCAGCCTTGAGAGCGAGGCGGCGCAGTTCCTCTCCACGGGCTGCGGAAGAGAAATGCTCGATGGGAAACGACTCGCTGGTATCTCGAGCTGAGCGCTCATTGGTGGTTTTTACCACGTGCTGGTGATGAAACTCTCCAAATAAGCTCGGCAAAGTTTGTTGTTGTTTTGTGTCAGTTTTACGTCGCCCCGTCCATTAACATTTTTCATAATTGTTCCCACAATGTTTATCATCATGAAATTAATATCTATATATGTTATACTATACTTGCACTGCTTAACGTTTTCATACTTTATATATCTTAGCATATTATATAGCAGGCTGCGGTGTATATTCATACCCCTCACTGTTTATTCATCATTCAATTCATTCTATATTTTATTCTGTAGATTGTGCACATTACTTTTCACTTTACTGCTTGTTGCACTCCTGGTTAGAAGTTAAACTGCATTTCGTTGTCTCAGTAGGCTACCTGTAAACTATGCAATAACAATAAAGTTGAATCTAATCTTGAGCAGGAACAAATGTATTTACTTAGTACATATCTGACATTAACGATTAAACACATGTGTGCATTCTTTATAAATGCAAACCGAGTCAAGCCGACTCCGGAGGTGGCGGTATGCACCTTAAAGTTGTTTACAATCCGCCAAAAAACCGAGAGAAGAAGAAGAAGAAGGCGACTCGGAGCTGTCCGACTTCAGGCGAGCTTTTTGAGACCTCCCCCGGCTGCGATCGGCTATTCTCGTCTACTTTCGAGGCGAGCCGCAACGCGTCTCAAACAAGCCTAATGTGTCCAGCTCGGAGGACGGCGCGTATTGGCTTTTTTTGATCAAAATGTGATTGCAGTTCGTTGTCAACCTCACCACGATACTTAGGAGACGTCATTTGTGTCTGAACAACGTTTTGTTCATGAGTTATTGATCCGTGAAATCAGAATCTCCCAATATCGTTCCAACTTTACTAAGCCAGAAGACCGTCTCATTTCGTAGACCGCTCGGTTTGCTGTTCCTTCACTTTATTTTTATATTTATATAGGCTACATTTATTTTGGACGAAAACTTAGCGTGAGGAAAGGCATGTGTGGCGTGAGTGCGTGAGATATGGGTTAATTGCGTGACTCTCACGCTCAATGCGTGAGTGTTGGCAGCCCTGTAAACTACTTCATGAACTGACATGAAACTTAGAACAAGCAAGCCCAGTGCTCATATGATGCATCAAAAAGGACTTTGATGATTTTCTCATAATTAGCGTGTCGAGTTTTCATGTATTTAGTGAAATATCTCAACTTCTACAACATGGATTGAAACAATATCTTGTGCAGACGTGCATGGTTTCCAGAATATATATTGGACTGATTTATCTTCTAGCGCCACAATAAAGTGGCCATTTACACTGAGAAAGCATTTTCAATAATGGTCATTAGCAAATCTTAGCATTTGAACATGTTAAAACTTTGTTTGCATTGTCACAGCGAGCATGTTAGCATGGTAGCTTTAATCATAGAGCCTCACAGAGCAGCTAGCATGGATATCGACTAGTCTTGTGAACAAGCAACAAATATTTAAGACATGTTTGGTGCTAATTTACAAGCTAAATTACACTTAGTTAAGATGGTATATTAAAACACTATACCTGATAAAATTGTTAGCATTGTCATTAGGCTACCCTTTTTTAGCGTGTTAACACTGTCTCAAATCAGAGAGTTGCTAGCATGGCTGAAGACTGTAATTTTGTAATGTTCCCAGTTTAGCAAGAGAAAAGTAAACAGAGTTAATTCACAACCAAAATGCTTTAACTGAACTCCTGCTGGGCATGGAAAAAAAGGGTTGAACCCAAAATCTATGACCACGTCTACCGTCTGTGCGCTTATCGATCGTGCCGACTGCGTGCTCGGTTTCGTTCAACACTACTGTCAGGTTGGTGGCGTGTGCACTTGTAGCCTCTAACCTGCTATGCACCTCTGGTTTTCCCATAAAAATAAGACAATGTCAACAACATTTTAGTTGGTTTTACGAGAGGTTGGTTGAGGACATTTCCCTTTAAGACCGTTATAACCATAACAATACAATGAATTCGTCTTTAAAGGAATACAAAGACACATGGTGTTAAACTGCTGGCTAAAAACGTAACGTAAAATTCAGATTGGCCATTGCGCATGCGTAGAACCGAGTGATCGCTGACGCGCAATCCGGAAAGTTATTTTTCCTTGTCATTTAAAAAACTCCCAGAAACCTATATTATTTTACCAGAGCAAAACAACATGGCGTTGAGATGACATTTTTGTCCCCTACCTGTCAGTGAGGATGTCCAGCACTCTGCCTGTGCAGGAAAAGGATCGATAGGTGGAGAGGAAGATTGTGATGAAGGAGGAGTCTCCCATAGCAAAGGAGTGAAGGAGGTGGAGCACCAGCTTCTCTTCTGTCCCTGCTTTCACACACTGGGAGCGAGACACCGCTGACTGGAGGAGGAGAAATAATAAAGTAAGTTTAGTGTTACAACAAATATGATACTTATTTAACCCCTTGCCTCAATTCAGTTACACATGACTCACCGTCACACTGTTGGGGGTGCCATGCTGCTGTTTCACCACCACTGTGTATATCACTCCATCTTCCTCTTCCTCAACCACAGTGGACTGTAGAGCAGTGAAACCAGATTAAAGCAGTGTTGTTGTGTGGCAAAGAGTGTATCAATTAACAGTGGATAAGGATACTGGAATTGTGAGGAATTTCATTGTGTGGGTCAAAATCTAGATGGTTTCTTCTCCTGGTAGGCTACTGATTCTACATACTAAATATAATCATGTCCTTTTACTGAACTAAACAGATTTACACCTTGAAAAGTATAATCCGTTCTACATGACACACAATATCCATGTAGAAAAAAGAGCCTAAAATCAAGCTGCTTTGAACTAATTTCTAACACACTACATGGAGCTCTAATGATCCTGTTTTAGCCTGGAGGAAAGTCCCTGACACAGTTACCCTATTTATACTTGTACTGGCTCACAGGCACCTTATGTTGAACATGTTACATGCACAACACATACTGGCCTTACCAGATCCAGAGGACAGTACCAGGTGGTCTTCATTGGTGAGGGATCTGCCTAGAAAACCAAACAAAACACGAGCTTAACTTATTTGTTATATTAGGAAAAGGTTTGATTCCAAACAAGCAAATCAGCAGTAAAGCAACACATCATATAATCATTAAGTGTATAGCCTGAGGCTGTGGTTGGTCGGCTTACTCACTTACTTAATTCTGACCCATATACTGCATAATTTATGATTTACATGGTACAATGATGCAGAAACTACAAATGTATGTTAGTATATCACAAGAAATGTTGAAAAGTTTTGAAGAAAATAATTTAGCAGGTGGACACATGTGCATCACTTATGTTAATTTTGAAGAAGCTGAATAATGCTAAGCTTCCACAGTCCCAAAATATGACTTTCTGTTTACATTTTGGGCGCAAAAGAGAACACATATTGTGTTACAGGACTGTATTGGCTCTGTATGCACAATATGCAAAGATTCAGATTTTAATTATAAAGTCTAACAAATCCCACACATGTAAAGCATTTATAAGCCACAACAACTTTCACATAATTTCAGATATTATATTGAACATTATATTGAACCTTGGTTAAATAAAGAAGCTAACATTATGGTTAATCAGAGTTTAAATTATGAATTCAATAAAAAAATATATCTAGATTATCTTCCAATTTAGTTTGCCTTGTTGATGGTGATAGCCATCAGGTATCAATCCCACAGAGACCAGAAAACTCCATAGATTACGCAATTATAAGTCAAATGGATGCTAATTAATAACAATCATTCATACATGATTCAGTGAAGCTTAATATGAAGCCTTTGTGCAGCCTAAAAAAATACTTCAAAGGCCTCTGGACAGGTACAATTATTAAGAATTTGTCTTGGCAGTATTAGTGCCCGGTCTTAACAACTATGTTGACAGTGACACGTGCAGTTCTTGGATCCTGAGGCCTAAGGCCCCGTCCACACGGACACGAAACGGGTTGTATCTGCTACTGTTCTCTAACGGAACTGCGGAAACGGAGCCCTCAAACGGTAACGGCTCCCAAGGTGGGTAGATCTGCGGACGAAACGCTCTGCGGGGCCTAACGGCTCCGTGTGTACGTCCTATACGATCATTTCTTGATAACGATGAAGCCATAGCCCCGCCTCTCCCCATCTCTCCTGCTCACCCCCNAAACGCTCTACGGGGCCTAACGGCTCCGTGTGTACGTCCTATACGATCATTTCTTGATAACGATGAAGCCATAGCCCCGCCTCTCCCCACCTCTGCTGCTCACTGCTGTAGCATGGTCAGTAGCTACTGCTGCTGACCATGCTACAGATGTTAGTGCAAAACCTACAGTTCCTCTACCACAGTGGTTCCCAACCTTTTCCAACTCAGGGCCCACTTTTAAGTCTTACATTTTTTCGAGGCCCACCNGTTAGTGCAAAACCTACAGCTCCTCTACCACAACCATCAGCAACAAGTGGACATGGAGAACTACATGAACTACATGTTGCTAAATTCACCGGGGAGAATAAACAGAAGGCCAACCAGGCAACCATGGCAACCATGCTCGGGGGGGGGGGGAGGGGGGTCTTCTTCACTGCTTTTGGTGTATTTTGTGGCGCCACTTACAGGCCCAGCATATGTACTACAGCGTCTCCAGCGGGTCGAGCGGTCTCGTGTGGACGGACACGTTTCTTGAGCCGATACCGTGTGGACGGAAGACTTTTTTGATATCGAATTCGGTTAGTTTTCGTTTTCGTCTCCGTGTAGATGCAGCCTAAGTCATGTCGCAGGCGGCCGATGACTCATAGCACTTTAATAGTAAGAAGAAGTGTGAGAAATACAGTAGCACTGCAGAGACATTTCAATAATGTCAAAACAGCCAAAGAGACAATCCAGAGACAAAAAAACCTGCTTTTGCTGACATTATTAGCGAAATATGGTGAATATATCTTTAAAACCCAGTGATAATGAATATCTTTAGTTGAGGTCTGTATAGTTAAGTACAGTTTAAAGTATTTTTTACAGAGTATTCATATACAACTTTATACCTCTTCTTCTCTACATTTCAGAGACAAATATGGTAATTATTACAAATTTTCCTTATGTTGTTTATCTTTTACTTAATACATTAAACAAAGCACATGACTGGCTATTACAACACAACATTTTGTTTAGATAACCAAAGGTTCCTTCACCTTTTTTGCCTGCGACTTCTTAGAAAAACAGTGTGTAATGTTTTGAGTGTGCATGAATTATAAGCATTTCTACTAGTGTTTCGGAGTTCCAGAAATCAGCTTTTGTGTTTCTCAGATGATACAGTCATGTTTTACTCATTCATATATTCCAAGTTATTTAGATGTAGTTGTTGTCTTGTGTTAGTTCTTATGCTAAGAGAACTGTCAACACACTTCAGAATAAGGGTCTTGTGTTGTTGTTGTTGTCGGAGGTGGGTGTGGCTGAGCCTTTTGTTTACATCAAATTGGCCGATGCATTTTAGAAATCCATCGATCACTTTACACATCGTCTGGCAGTGACGCGTTCGCATCGGTGACTTTTTCCATCATAGAAAATGCATGAGCAAGACACAGTGAAGTCATACTGGTTGTCTGGCAAAATTTTCCAGCTGTTCGTACGTCGTCATTAGTCAACAGTTTTGATCTACAAAAACACATGTGCAACAACTTGGAAACTACACCCAAAGCATAACATGTTATAAAACCTTCTGACTGATAAGTATTCCGCTCATAAAGAGGAAAAGTCATGACCTGACCAGTTTTATTTATATCTTTGTAGCAAAGGCAGACATGTACGCTTTCTTTCATGCAAAGTCCGTCACAGAATGAGCCAAGAAAAAACATATTCATGCAGAAAGCAGAAGGACCATCTTTTATGTTTGACTTAAGTCGAATTAGCTGTAATAAGCGCTTGTTCGCCCCCTATTAGCCTATTTCAAATTGCCTTGGCTTGACTTGGTGGAAGGTCAAAACTCCAAGCCGGCGCTCCTTTCATTCAGAAAGGATCCTACTGCACTCATTAATCTGTGTATCAAACCTGTTTTTCCACCTGCTATCGCTGCTTGCTTCTAAACAAATCTACAATTGCAATTCTATCTTTCCAATTAAATCAGCCCAAGCTCAGAAAGACTGAAAAAAGAATTGGACACACAAGTTACCTTTCCCTCTGCAAGTCCAGACAGGTAGCAATCCCTAATCTTCCTGGAAATCTTCAGGAGGAAGGTATGAATCGATTTTTCATTCTCTCCATTTTCTCTCATCTGTTGCTCCCACTTCCTTCTCTCTCTCTTTCTGAATTCGACCGCCGTTTTATTTACCTGTCAGTCGACCTAGATCTGTGTGTTTATGTCTTTACTGTTTGCCTCTCAATGCCTTGTGGCTCTATCACAAAGACACACCTGAAGCAGGAGCTAAGTCCCGCCCCCGCTAGCCTGCATCACCTAGGCACACCCATTAAACACACACACACACACACACAGACACACACACATTACAAACACAGATAGGGATATGTTAGTGTTGATAGCACAACACTCATTTTTTGTTTCTTTTTACACCAATGGACAGACAAATTGCTCACACAAATGCAGACCCTCATCAAATAGACACACGCACACACATATACGTCATACGCAGAAGCCCTGAAGCTATTTCCAGAACAATACCCCCTCTCTTTGAGTCTCTCTCCTGCTCTCTTTGTCTTTCTATATGACCTTCCCATACAGATAAACCAGTTTGACTGAGTATCCTGTTCAATACAGCACGGTCATATAGAAAGACAAAGAGAGCAGGAGAGAGACTCAAAGAGAGGGGGNCCACCCAGTTTAGATTTGACCACGCCCACTTCCGCATTCGCAATGAACGTTAGCCTTAGCGTCATAGACTATACTATTTTATATATATATATATAGGCCTACACACATTTATTCATTTATAAACATATATATATATAAACACACACTTATATTTACTCACACATGTATTTATTCATTTATACACACAGATGTTTACTGGTGTTTTATCATCTCAGCTGGTGTAAGTATTAGCATTATTTAATGATACTATTTTATATATATATAGGCCTACACACATTTATTCATTTATAAACATATATATATATTAATGTTAAAATAGACATTTATAACATATTATAAATGTCTATAAAATATTAAATAAACGTTAAAATGTTACATGACAAACAAAAAAACGAAACATTATATATAGGCTATATATCAGATGTTTGCTAATGTATCCCTCTTATATCCATCAGGAATTAATATTAAATGATGAATTAACATTACCTCAGCACTGCATAAGTGTGGTCGTCAGTCATATTGACAAAGATATTGTATATTATGTATACAGTCTATGATATTATGCAGCGTCTATAAGGACGGTATTTTGCTTGTCAGATTCCTTGTCAGATTCAGATTTCGCGGGTGTGCCGTGTCTACGTAGAGCTTCGTCGATCCTTGCGTAATGCGGAAGTGGGCGTGGTTAAATCTAAACTGGGTTGGAATAACGATAGACGCGGCCCGGCTAAGGTAACTGGATGGCCTACCTGCCTATCAGCCTTCCATCTCGTGCAAAAACTTATCTCGTGCACTCATTGGTAATGTGCGCGTTCGTGTGTGTTGGAGGAGGGGCTCTGTAAGGAAGTCTGAAGGAAGGGCAGATTTTCTTTCGGCCGCCTACTTTCAAATTCTAGCGCACTCGAGCTGGTAGTTTCTCCATTCTTACCTACCCTACCTTTAATGGGCATAATTCAGCCTTACATTTGTGATATCTTTGGAACGTCTTCAAATGTGTTTGTAATGACGCCAATTAATCGATCAAACATTTGAAGATGACACATATAGCTCTCAGAACTTTAATAGGCTTTTCTCTGTACTTTTTAGCAATAACAATGATTTTGTCATGCATTTTTATTTTTAAACTTGAAATGAGTTTACTTCTTAGCTACACAGCTGTTCCCCTTGTCAAACCTCCTTCTGTTGATATTCATGAATCAGTTTCTTTCAAGCAGACAAACTTGAACATCTAACTCCAAAAAGTACACTTTGAACTTAGATATGAGGCCAGCCTGAGTGTATTACCATAACAGAGAGGCTCTCTGTGTTAAAACTATAATCACTTTGCCGTGACTTGCAGAATCTTCTGAAAACCATTACCACAGTGTTTGATAACGTCCTCGAGTTCCCTCCCCACACACTCTGGTAGCAGATTAACTACCCACCGATTAATTAACACAGTTACCTCTGTGTGTGCCAATCGGTGTCTTATCAACCTTTGTCAGGCCTTCAACTGTAAATTAATTAATATCCCCTCTCTTGTCATTTCTTAATTACCTAAGTTCCAGCAGGAATGATGGGAAAGGCCTGTGTCAGCGGCTCTGTTTTGTGCTCATGCTTATAATGACTTTGCTGTGAGCTCATTGGTTCATTAGACAGGATATGAAAACATGCTGATGAGAGGTGATCAGGGGATGACATGATGTATAAAGAGGCTCTTCAGACGAGGGGTTAAATTGAAGCAGCACTCCTTAATCTTTCTGTTGAAGGTGACACTGGACTTTGTGTAGAGCTGGATGTTCTGATAAATAACTCTCAGTTTATCAAATAACACCCTAAACTTTGATCTCAGCCTTATTAGAGTGTTTAAAAAAGAAGCAACTGACATTAAATCATTAAAGAGACAGCAGCAACTCAAATAAGCTTTTTATTATTCATCAGCTTTGAGGGTGAATCAAACTGCTCCGGCCTGCTTGATGTTAACTTGCTGTTCACTGTCAACAAAAACACCCAACACGAGTTCATGAACAGCAATACAATGTACTGTTTATACAGAATATATTACAATTTACATTTCAATCATTTTATTAAGTCTTCATGAAAACTTTTTTAATTGACAATCTCATAATACCGACCAGCTGTTCAGTACCTTTAAGGCAACATGGACAACAAGAACTTAAAGTGCTCAGAATTTGTGTAATGTTATCTGCTGGATTTCTTTGCATTTAAAATCAGGTTAGGGATAAAGCATGTTAAGACAAAAGGGTCACACTTTTGATGACAGAACCTCTAAAATGCTCACTCAATTTCTTATCCGGGAAAAAAACTGTCACTTGCACAAATAAACCTATGAATAGTCTATGAAATCCTTACATTCTATAGATGTTTCATTAACCCGTCAACTATCGATTTTTTGTTTGTTTTATAAATGCCCCCTGTCTTACCTGCTGAGGCTTGGCACAGCAATGGAAGCGCACGTCATTGAGGGTGGAGTCATCCAGGCCATACTGGTACTTCTCCATCTTGGTCTCGATGCCACAGATTCCTCCGTCACCACACTCCTCGCTCCAGGAGCCGTACTCTCCCCAGTCCAGGCCCATGCCCTCCAGCAGAGGGTTGCTGCTGCAGCGGAACTTGATGTTGTTGATAGCCGTGTCGTCACCAAACAGACCCTGATGGGGCTCCACGCGGATCTGGAAAGAGGTGAGCATGCCCCTGGGGCAGTACTGGGGAGGTGACCAGTCACCAAAGCTGGGCAGGAGAGGAGGAATACAAGAGAGGGATCAGGGGAACAAATCAGGAAGAGATCCAATTTGAAGACTGGAAACTCTGGAAGAGATTGGATACATTTACAAACGTGGTTTTGGAATCCTGGAAAAAAAACGCTTTTTATTTCCACTGTGAACATGATGGGTAACTGCCAGCTGCAGATTACTGTATTTATTACATATCTATTTAAACTTTGTAATACAGCCAGGTTAAACCTACTTAGATCAAGCATCTCTTTTACAAGATGGATCTGGCCACAGAGTTAATAAGTACTGTAAAACGTAAAACATTTGGAATGAGGCATTAGAAAGCCTTTTCTTTATTACCCCAGTCATTGATCCTCATACTGTTTAATTTTTTTTTTTTTTTGGTATGTTAGAATATAACAGTTTGCTGGATTATGTATAATTAAGATGGTGATTTATTTTTCCTTTGTAAATATCTTTGTAATGTGTTTTAATGTGAGACATCTAGACCAAAATCTATAAACTAACAATGTGTTAACACAACTGCAGATTTGATTTAACCTTAAACTCCTCATTAATAACATGTATGATTGCTGCCGAACCATGAACATTTATTGCCAACAAAAGAAGTGCATTATTATGAAAGAGATAGGATTTACGTTAGTCAGTGACATTTATTAATGGCATTAGTCAATTATGTATAGTTACTCACTAGCCAGTGTGGGATTCGATAGAGTAAACGAAGCTTCGGTTCTCGTCTTGGGCGCAGATGAGGCGGATCCCATTCAGAGCGGTGTCATCCGCAACGTGCTGTTTAGACTCCACCTGAAGAAACAGAAACAGTTCCCAGAACATCTCTTGATAAGCCTGCTTGTTCAGGTGAAACAGCTGCCAAATCTGGTGAAAAACTTAATGTCAGGTAAAGGTGTAGATTATTTGGTAGTCTATGTAGAGACGTGTATCTGGGACAACAAGAAGCTCTTTTCTATTTACAGTGCAACTCAGCCACTTAGGTTCACAGACATAAACAATGAAATAAATAAATCTGTTATTATTAATGCGTTTACTGTGTTTGAAACATCAGATATTTTTTCCCTTAAAGGATAGGTTCACATCAAGTATTACCCTTAAATCTATTTTTACATGTCCATTGGTATTTTTATGCTGTGTTTATCATCTTGTGCTTGCTGAAGAAGGAATCTTTTCTTAATGTAACGCCAATAAGAGATAGGCAGACATCATGCATGTTTCTTTCATTGTCCTTTTAGATGTTCTCTCTTTGACCTCAGCCTGTTTTGTCCCTCAGTTTCTTTCTTTGAATTTCTACTGTTGGTTAAATGCAGTAAAATATGAGTCCTATCAGAATGTCTTTACCCTGAGACTGAAGCCAACAGCAAAGAACTTTTCAGGACACATCTCGGACCAGGTCCAGTCTCCAAATATCTCTCCGTTGGGCACCGTGAGCAGAGACCTGTACTGTCTGCCGGTGAAGGCCGTGCCAGCTCGCTGCAGGAAGTTCTTCTCCTCACAAAACCCACTGGACAACACAGCCAGCATGGCCACGATGGTGGAAAGACTTGCCATATTGACAGCAATGATTCAGTGTTTCAGTCTGAAATGCCAACTAACAAGTACCGAGGGGTCGGGCTCAAAGCTCTTATAGCTTCCCAGTGATTTCTAAAATAGACCACTCGTATCAGGTTGAATCATTTACAGAGCGGCGTGGGATTGAACAGCTGGTGTTGGAGAAAGAAGTTTAGTTCAAAGAGGCTCTCTGCTGGGCTTCAAGGAATTCATTCACCTCTTACATTTCGACAAGCAGTGAATTCAATAGGAATTTGACATTAAAACGCCACAAAAACCTGCTACCTTTAGAAAAGTGATCCCTGGGGTAACGTTCAGCAGCAACAGAACCTTTTACACTTTAAAAAAGTCTTGTAATTGATGTTGCAATGGCAAGTCATAGCTTGAGTGCAGTAACATTAAATAAAAGATTATTAGAAAGGTTTATTTTGTCTTGCAGGGATACATGCAGATATCAGGCCTTATCTGATCTGATAAATCGATTTTTATTGAATTAAAGAAAACAACCTTATTCTGGGTTTCGGTATACATTGACACTTATTGACACTTTTCACACATAATACTCTCTGGTTTTGTCAGCAACACTCTACACAAAAAGGTTGTCCTGGTTCATTGTTAATTTTAAAATATTGATTCAAGCAGCTTTAAATCAGGTTTTATTTGCAGTGTGGAAGTGTCCAGAAGTGTTTTTAATAGTGATAAGAACCTCAAATGATTATACAGTAAGACAAAACTTCAAAAAACTAAAATAGCTAGATTAATACATTTAATTATATACTATTCATTAATAATATATGTTCTTCTGTCATATAGTAGAGTGGCTTTTAGAGTGTACCAAGTGAACACAGGAAGTTGTCCCCGTGTTTTTGCAAGTATACGTTTGGTTTTCAAACAGAAGATTCTATTTTTTGAATTTATTAATAATAATACAAATACTCTATCCAGTTATTTATGTGTTTCAGAAACACACATCCAACAAAAACAGAATATGTCAAGTACAAGACGTTGAGTGTTATTTCAAGGTGTGCCGCACCTTTTTCGAATTGACAGGTCGGACATATTTATCCTACAGAATTATCATAAACAAATGTTGGAGCAATTCATGGCACCTTTATTTCTAAGGACAATATGTCCGATTAGTCCTTGGTTGATTAAAAGGATAATGGAGGAGCTCTGCCATTTTCAGTTATAAACAATTGAGTGTCATCTCCCCACAATGCATTTGTTATCAGGCTGAAGGTGTCACAAGCTTTAATTATTTATATTGCAACAAAGTCCAGTTTTTCAGGAGAACTTTATTACGTGTTTCTTTGTTACCAACTCTTTCATAAGTCTTAGGGATGACTTAGAGATCTTTGTCCTTGTCTGCTTAGTGGGCTGAAGTCAAACCTAACACATGAAAAGAGAGGGTTACAGTATGAAACTTAACAACTACATGAGATATAAATGTCTAACAAGGCACAGAAGAAAAGCAAAGGGTTTCATAATACAAACACTAACGCCAACACACCTCTTTTTCCAAGTCCGTTGTCAGTTGCTCCACCTGGAAGCCGATAAAGAAGAAGAGGATCCCTACAGTCTTCTTTATGTGTTTAGAAATGTCTAAATGAAACAATGACCGTAATCACTTTTAGTAACTTATCCTATAGGCCAGGAATCAAATACTGTAAAGTTACAGGAAGCTAAAGTTAGCCGCATCTAAAAGCCAATACACTTTCAGAGTGAGAGGTGTGCTCTTAAGTAAAGTTTTCTTTTCGTCATGGAAAATGTTTTGTTGAACATAGCAACACACAGCTGTGGGTAAGGATAAGATATGTGAAATGTGCCAGGAAACAGCACCCTATTGCAGTTAACATCTGATGAAGCGTTTGCTGAAGATCAATGACAACCTTTCTCCCGTATTCACCTTTGTTCATTTGGTAATTCCCCGCCATTGCTTTCCCATACTATCACACTGTTCCTCCTTCCATTAAAACATCTCACATGTCAGCTGTTCAATGTAGCTCTTAAAACTTCTGTCGCCCAGACTGAGTATGTCATGGTTTTGGCAGTAGATATTCCGACTCAAAAGCAAGGCTCAGGGAAAGAGCAGGGAAAGAAGTCGCCAACAGGCAGTCAATCATCAAAGGCAAACAAATCCAAAAAGGGGGAGCGGGGAAAAGAAAAGGCAGGCAGCCAAACAAAAACAGCAGCTGGAACACTACGACTTCACGGGGCACAACGACAACCTGGCAGGGAGTGGGTGCTGCCTGGCTGGCATTAAGGACTAATGTTGGTGTGAGTAGTGAAGAATGAATGGATGAGAAGTAGGTGAGCTGGTGAGCCGATGGGTGTGGAGGTCAGGTGATGCTGAAATATATGAACGACCACAAGTAACAGGGGGGAATGTCTGAGGCTGAAGGGAGTTAAAAGGTGAAGACAACTAACCAACTGCTCACCATCACAGCTATCATGCTGTGTTCATGTTAGATCTGAGTTATCATAATTATTAGATTCCTAAATGTATATATTTACGTCATGGTGAACTCTGTTGAAACGGTGGAATAGGCTGTAATGATATCAGATATCGACTACATAGATATCATGGACAAAATAATTCACAATAACAATATTATCACAACTTTTAGAGAAAAAGAGAAAAATAGCTTTGTTCATTACAGATGAAACATTCCACTCATTTGGCTGTATGGCATTGAAAAAGGTGATGAAGCAAGTGAAACATGGTGAGTAAAAAGTAACATTACTCAGTTTTTACGTTTGTGGTATCTATCACCTCCTGAGTATATTTTCTCCTCCGGACTAATCCTTACCACCCTCCACCTCCAGGTGTGCCCCCCTGCAGCTCACCCTCTCCCCCCGGTAAGAGCTCAGGTTAGAGTGAAGCTATAACGATGTATATATATATATCTATATACTAGTCTCTGTTGGCCAGGATATTTGTAGATGACACATCTGTGGTGACCTCGACCTGTCTCTCAGCCAGATCACCCTCTCTTCCTGAGGAAATAACCCACAATGCTTGGTCTGATGGACCTTGACAACTGGAGGCACTGGAGTAGAAGTGATTAGAGAAAAAATTAGCTGAATGACCTGCTGGGTGTAGAGCGAGTAACGGGCTAAACAGTTTTCTTTAAGCCATTTAATTACAGAATAGAGGAGAACAATTGTTTCCTTTTCCAATAAAGCTAATTAAGCCAATAAAGTGGCAATGTTGGGCCTTTAATATCCTGCTTTAAAACCTCCTTCAGTGGAAACAAAGAATAGGAATCTGAAATAATAATAATAATTTGAGTTATCAAGAGCCCAAGTGCTCAAAGATGCTTTCGGAGATTACAAAATAACAAAACAACATTTAACACTAGGCCAACACTAATCACATATTAAAAGCCAGTCTAAAAAGGTCCGTTTTTCTCAATGTTTTGAAGCAGGTAAGGTCTACGTGTACGTTTTCTGTCCAGTGTGCTCTTTCCAACCCTGGCTATACTTTCCAACACGAGTCATACATGGTGAAAAGCTTATGGTTTTATAGGTTGTTTTACCATAGAGCATGTCTGTGTTGTTGTCGCCATACTCAGTCAGATATCACCTGATATACATAGCCACCTGTACAGAGAGATCTGTAATGGCAGACACATGTGGCTTATGCTATACAATCATTTGTAGATAAGATGAAACCAGTGTGACTCTTAGTCTTTACTGGCTGTTACTGTACGGAGGCGTGTTGTGTTTTTTACTTTTATTTGCAGCTCCAGAGCCTGAGACCGAAATCTTTTGATCATTCCTCAAAAACATACCTTGAGTGCATTTGGAAAGACAAATAACCAGAAGCACTGTGAAGAGTTTCATCGCCCTGTTGCAGTTCATATTCTCTGCACACCAAACTGCGCAGGTTTCACTGCCTGCAGCTCCTCCCAAACTCACACCATTGGATTCACATGGGGGAGATGACTTCCTGTTCAAACAAATCGATCAATGCCTTTAACTCAGTGAAAACAAAGAGACACATGCAACTCCAATTTTGACATGAGTGACTGCTGACACCTAGTGGAGGAAAATCATAATTACAATATGTGCACCGGTCAGGAGAGGCTCACCTTTTTCACTTAAAATACGAAGTTTACAGGAGTTAACTTGCCTTTTTAAAGCTATGGAAGGACATAATAAATGTATATCACAATATACTTTAGTATATTCCGATGTCTTTATATGCATTTGTATAGCTGTACTGTACTGTAGTTAAAAATAACAAAATCACATAAATGAGGGGGTTTTGTGTGCATGTGACTTTCATTAATGCACAGTGTGGTTAAATGAATCGCTTCTCCAATATATTTGTTGCTAATTTCAGTTAAAACAAATTGAAGGATATAAAATATACATTGATTCAAAATGCTGGTAATCTTCACAATTGAGAAACTAAACATGAATAACTATCACTTCCATTGATTCCAGAAAAAAGCCAATGTTTTACTACAGAAGAGAATGTTTTAATAAACACACTTGTCAAAGGAAAGGTATGCTTCTGAGAGGCAGCGATGCTCCTGTGAACTCTCTTCAGTAAACAACTAAGACTGGAATGAGAAATAACAGCGTGTAAAAAGGAAACAACATAACTCAAAAGAAAATAAGGACAGAACAGCAGAAATACAATAATTTGTGCAACAGTAAATACAGTTTAAGTATATACAAGCATATATTCTTTTACTGAACATTCAACAACAGCTTCAACTATGAATGGGGCTGTAAGGACTTTGATTTCTCTTAATAGGAAACTTTTGCTGTTACTTATCCAACAACATTGGTTCCAGTAAGTGCGGAGTAGCCAAAAGATTTCTTTAAGAATCTCTCACTGAGTTTTTAAGTGCTACAGATGTCTTCAAGAAACAGCTATGCAACTTCACATGTTCAGGAGATTCATGTGGAAATTAGAAACCTGCACTACAATCAGATAACATTCAGAAGCCTGTGTCCAGCTCTTAGGAATAGATACACACTTCAATTACAGTTTGACATAATGAAGAGCAATGTGGACAACAGTAAAGAGCTGATTTCAGATACTGAACACAGAATCAACTAGTGCCGTGTTTATAAGACTAGTCAGTCCAACATGGCTGGAGGACTATCAGAAAGTTAGTGCTGCCATCAAAATCAATACCAACTGAATGAGTATGTTACGTCATTGCAAACTTTGTAATTAAAGTATGTTAAGTCATTTCTATACTGTACCATGAACCCAATTTACTTTTAAAAACATGAACATGCCATACAAAGATACTGCAGCTAAAAGCTCAATGTCAAACTGATATTTAACTTCAAGAGAAATGTGTGTAAACACAAGAGGAATGATTCAGAACTCAAACCAAAGTCATACTTAAATGTCCAATACCAGAGGTTTGTTTTTCTACGACCTAATAACTCCTGGGAAGGAATCTTAGAGCTCCTTAACAATATATTATTTATCCAAATAACGGAAATATTATAAACAACCTAGATGATTAAGGCTGAGTCTAGGGGTTGATATTAAAATCAAGTGGAACAGAAGGCCAGATGTTAGAGAAGCAAGGCTTGAGACCAAAAAGATTGCTTGTTCAAATTCCAGTGTTGTCTGAGGAAATGGGGGTAAAGAAAACAGAATAAATAAACGCTCTTCCATTCCCTCTCCACAGAGGGCAGCGCAAGGCCAGCCGGAGCAGATTTGGAGTAAGGCCAATCTTTCCACATTTTTTAAAATCCGTTTCCCTCTTTGGGGGATCACCATAAAATTCTTCTTTATAAAAGAAACATACATTTGTACAAATATTTACAAAGGGGAGGAGGGGGAAACCAAGGCATTTAGAGTCTGGGTTCTACCGTTATCCAGAGAGACGTTGTTTCTCATCCCTCATTCCCACATTCAAAGCCACTGTTTTTCTATGTGTTTAATATCTTAGCCCACTGCCGTTCCAGGGTTTGTTGTGACCTGGGCCAGCCCAAGTCCCTGAGTTATTAGCATTTTTCTCTGTTAGCCAGGGCTGAGGGTCTCAACCAGAGTCTGAATCACTGGTGTCTGAGGACGAGGAGGAGGAGGAGGAGGAAGAGGAGTCAGAGCTGGAGCTGCTTCCACTGAGGCGTGCGGGCTGAGGGTTGGTCTCCACAACGCTGGGCTTCTCCACTGAGGAAGAGAACAATGAGCACGAGTTAATAAATACTGAAAGACCAGATAGAGCTTTTAATGTACCCTCTAAAATATTTAATGGAAACACACAATAATAAAGAAACAGATTACATCTAACATTTACTTTCAGAAGACATGCACAAACCGAATATGGATGAGAGTGCTTACCTTTAGGTTTCGTTGGTTTCTTGACAGAGTTGAGTTGCCCACTGACGTCCTGCAGCCTCCTCTCCAGCTCCCTCCTCTTCTCCAGAGTCAGCTCCTCTTTAGACATGGCAACACCGCCTTTCTTTCCTGCTGAAACTGAAAAGACAACGACGTTGTTACGGACCTTTGATCCACAGAGTAATGCCGTTAACAGACTATAGTGTATTGGAGTGTTTTGGTTTGTTTTGATTCAGAGAAGTCTTGGAAGGAATGTTAAAGTCAAAGAAAGGTAAGTAATGCTAACACTCAATATCAGGCATATTAGTCTGTGACCAAAAGAGCTGTAGATACATTCTGTATGCTGCCATTGTACATTTCCTACTATGAATTTTGCTTGCTTTAATCTTTTTCATCTTCTGTTCAGCTGCTTCATGTTCATGTCTGCCACCTCCTGTTATAGTTGAACATGTTTGTTTTCTTTTATTGGTTGTTTTAATAGATGATCTCCAATCATGAGCCCAATGTAATGCATTTCTATTTTAATGTTCAACCATAGTCACTCCATTGATTCTTAGGAATGATGTAGCTGAAGTTGCAGCTAAACAATCACAACATTTAATTTAAGCTGCAAAATTCTGGGAGTTTATTTATATCCAAGTAATTTGCCTTCGCATCACTTTGACATCACTTTGACATCGCTTTGACATCACTTTGACCGCTGGGGGGGGGGTGCTAGTGGACTAAACGGCGGATAATAGCGCGCCACATTTGCGCTTCAGATGAGGAGGTGAGGCCCCCTCATAACTGCATGAACCCGTATGGCACAATACAACTCAGACTGGCTCACCTGTACGTCAATCAAGTGGCAAATGCCATAGTAAGGATGGATGATAGGCTAACTAAACAAATGAAAATACTTTTTTTTTTTTTTTCACGAAAAAACGAACCCGTTATCCCGACTTTTTTAAAGTTACCGGTGCGCCAAGGAGGAAGTGGAGCACAAGGGAGGAGACAACCATTTCATTGCAGACTGTTATGTTTATGTGGGGAAATGACAGTGCATACATTATTTGAGATATATTTCGAACTCAGACTTAATTTTAAGGACATTTCGGCCAGGGGGTGTAGAGCTATTTGTTTAAGCACCGGATTGGCAAAACAGGAGAGTCTGTAAACCAGTCTGCTTGGATCTATGAATTAATGTCCGTGACTCTCAGAGCACCTGCTGCCCGCAGCTGTTTTATAGGGAAACAAACACTCAGAACACATACACACAGAGCCAGTGGCGGACTGGCCATTAGGACGTTCAGGGCGAATCCCGATGGGCCGGTACCGAAGTGGGTCCACCGTTTCCCCGCAGTGAGGCTCCCCCCCGTTGACAGTTCACTAGCCCCCCCCCCCGTTGGCAGTTTATGTGGGCTGGGCTGGGTGAGATTCCCAGGCTGATTTTTAGTCCCAGTCCGCCCCTGCACAGAACTAATAAAAGGGGGAGTAATCGGGTAGTTTGATGTGTGTAGAGGTGTGTGTGTAAGTGTGCATTGTATCAAAGAGTTTATATAAGTTCTTAAAATAAATAAAGCTCTTACATGTGTTGAGTAGGGAGTTTAATAACTGGAGATGGTGATGTCAGACTTTGCAAAGGTTTTAAGTCAGAGTAAATACAATTCACTTTGTGTGTGGTCTAGCTTTTTAGGATGACTAATGCAGGGTAGCAGACTTTTGGCGCCACTTACTGCCTGTGGAGTAGTTTGGAAAATACGATAGTTTGTGGGTTTTTTATTTAATTATTTTTCACACATATTTTGTGCATATTTAAACACTTCTCACAAGCACTTTAGGCTGAGTCTTAGACTAAATTAAGCACACATCCATCTGGAGGATTGCAGTTCTATTTTACGTAAGGCTGTACTAATTAATATTTTGTATAAACATTGGCTAAAGGAGAAAAGTAATGAAAGTGTTGCACATAGTGACAAGGTTTTAGAGAATTATCACCAGACTCTGCAGCTCCATTTAGCATATTGGCGCTTTAAGCACATGTTTTTGGTTTTAGAAACGTTTCTGTTGTTATACGTCTCACAGTTCAATACAACCTAATTTGCAGTTGAAACACAGACACAGACAGAGCTGTGAAAGTCTCCACCTAGTTAACATCGCTCTGCAATGTCATTAGCCCCTTAAATAAACACAGCTTGCTTCCTGGTTCAGTGGCCATCTGAACATTTATTACCTTTTAAAGACTACAAGTCTCTTACTGCTCAAAAAGCAGGCCAGGCTTTAGATTAAAGTGGACCTATCATGCTATATTTGAATAATATAGTGTAGGACCATACCTATATAAGGCATATTTATACTTTTTATTTTTCAAAATACCAAACAGATCATGCATTTTAGCCATTCCTCATTTCGCTCAATGTAACACTGTCTTTTCATGGGCTGATTCTGTGAGANCGGATCCTTCTACGAGACTTATGTCGGGGTCACCAATGTAGTGCCGAGAGACGGGAGTCGGAGGCGGGGTATCGAAGGTACAAGCTAGACTTTTATTTAACATCAGGACAACATGTAAAACAGCTTTCAGCCCGGGAAGAAACAGACCGGGGGAAACAAGGGTCCGGTCAACTCACTATGTCCGTGCGGAACAATACCCCAACCCATAGTTCCGTGGGTGAATAATGTCAATCACCACAATATATAAAATAGTATCATTAAATAATGCTAATACTTACACCAGCTGAGATGATAAAACACCAGTAAACATCTGTGTGTATAAATGAATAAATATATGTGTGAGTACATATAAGTGTGTGTTTATATATATATATGTTTATAAATGAATAAATGTGTGTAGGCCTATATATATATAAAATAGTATCATTAAATAATGCTAATACTTACACCAGCTGAGATGATAAAACACCAGTAAGACAAAAAACAACTATTCCTGCTTTACCGCGACCGCTATGGCTAAATCTAAACTGGGTTGGAATAACGATAGACGCAGCCGGGCCGGCTAAAATGATTGGTCGTGTTTTTGACAGTACTACGGCTTCCACAGATGAATTTTTTTTAATGTATTTATTCTCAAAGCATTTAATATATTCATTGCTACTGGGATGTTAAGAGCATTCCATGGAATATAACAAAAAGTGTTTCTGAAGTGAATTACCTACCCCACCTTTAAGTAAAGCACAAGGCATCTAGAATATAATATACAATTTAAAAATACTGGGCAAATGTTTCTACTTTACATAATAATATATAATGTGCTATAGTCACAACAACAGTTATAACTCTAGACTAGAGTATAACAATAGTTACCAAACAGTCATGCCACTGTAAAGTGAAACAAAATAATTGAATAATATTAGTTAAGGTATAAGCATACATTGTGCATAGTAAAATAAAAGTTACATTTTGTCTTAATCACTGGTTTAATGCACCATCCGGCCAGGGCTCTGTGACCCAATTCCAAACACAGCCAGGTGCATCTTGGGCCTAGCTTACATGCTAAAAGCTAACATACACATTTTGGATCCTGCCCCTTTTATCTTCAGTGAGGTGTGTGTGAGGCCTTACTGCTGTTTGTGACAATAACCCAGATGTTACTGCAGAAGCTGTTTTGTGGACTAAAATGAAAGAGCAGGGAAGTTTAACTGGCCGCCGGGATGCACAGGACTCTGGGAATGACGTTCAGGTGAGGTGAGTATAACAATTACCTACTGCGTTGCCGTGAAACGTAGCATCGTGTGTTTGTTGCAGCATTGTGAACACTGTATGCTCATGTTGTTTCTGACTGCAGCCACTGTGGAGTTTGTATGGGCTTCATCTCTGTGCTGTCAACGTTTTTTATTCTACTGATTATTATTTATTTAGCACGATAATGATTATTGTTTGGTACTTTTCTGGTTAAGGCTATAAGCCTACTGATAAAGGTGGTTGTGTGTTCATAATTGATAGTAAGTTATAGGCCTCTACATTTGCTGCATATTTCCTTACTATGTAGCCTATTGATTTTATTATTGGGTTTGGAAGTTAACATCGTTTTTATTTTTATCTAAGAACATGTTTAGTGCTGCTAGGATTACATGAGAAAAAAACATCTTAAAAGTAGACCAATTGCACCTTCACTACGACTTTACAGACCATTTAAAGGTTAGAAAAACGTGCAAATTGAGCATTTCAAAAACCCCAAAGGTTTTGTTTTGCTCGGAAATGGAGAGAAGTAACCTAAGGTCTCATTGGAATAACTTTAACCTAAACCTTTTGGGCGTTTTATTTAATAAATTAGAGATTGGACTAATGTCTAATGACTATTGTGTATTCTGAGGTCTATTTCATTGCATATGAGGCCAGCCACTAGATGGCAGTGCTGCGTCAAGGGGAGTTTTTTTTACACTCAACTCACTAAAAATACCTTTTTATGGCGGCACACATCCAATACAAACATATTAGATAGATTTTATGTGTGTATGAATTCTGGATCAATTAATTCTATGTTGAACACCTGGCACAGCCTTGCAGCTCCACCTCTCGCTCTCAGTGAACCACAAGGCCCTCTGGGCATGAAGGCTAAAACCTGCATTCAATCAGCATCAATAAATGCTGTAATGGCATCCTGTACCACAATCATCAAAAGCACATTTCCTAGACTCTCAAAATGAACTTCATTGTTCAAAACATGCTGCAACCTCAGGGAGTTGTTGTGTAGCATTACATCTGGGTCCCAGTGTGGGACCTCAAGGATGTAACGCCCCGGGTCATGCGTCTAATGTCCAAACTACAGGCTCAATGAGTTTCTGACCAGCTTAACGTCTCGCCAATGGTCTACAATCTGCCTCAAGAGCAATTAACGCTTCCTGTAGTGAGCAAAATGGATTTGGTGTGTGTGGTTTTGGTTGAAGGCAAAGCTCTCCTTTTAATGACCTTAAGCTCCCCTGGGCTACCAGCTCATGACTTATAGATCACATCGGCTGTGTTGACTCAACTGTAAATACACTTCTGTTCATAAAACACCGTAGGGTTATTATCATGGCTGTCGGTTGCGGTTTTTACGTGAAATATGGATGCATGAGGGACCGTTTTGGGGCTATATGGCATTGTTTTGATGTAAGGGCAAGACAAATTGTATTGTTGTGATGCTTGGGTGTAATAACTATAAAGTTGATCTATTCTAAGGTTCCCACAATAATGAAGGTAATAACCAGGAAAAAGCAGATTCAAACAATCATCCTGGCCATGTTGTACTTACATTGTGTTCAGTTTATTGAAGTCGTAATTTCATCTTTCAGTATTTATCCAAGGGCAGTGTTTGCTGTCCTTGTGTGCAGCTGGAACAGATAACTTACATTTTTGCTGGTTAATGACACAGAGGTTTATTGATTCTGCAGATTCTCACAGATTTAGGTAAAGTTGACTGAAATCCTCTTATTCTTCAGATATTTATATCTGTAATATCAGTCTCTGTATTGTGAGTTTCTCCCATACTGAGAAAGCAGCTATGTAGTCAGTTGAGATTAAAAATAGAAACATTTAAATGACAATGCTTATTTTGTTTCACGTTACTGTGTTGCAAACAAGCAGCCTCATTTCAGAGGTGTAGTTTTTTTGTGCGGGAAAGTATCATAGTTGTCTGCAGGACATTCTCAAAATATTGAAGTGACTGTTATTTTGTATATATTATAGATTGTTGTGTTTTTATTTAGGTCTTAATGTGTGCACATGTAAAAATGTGTCTTGACTGTGTGTAGATATATATATATGTATATACATATTTGCACACATATTTTTACATTTTATATACATTCGTTTTTATATTTGGGATTGTGGGAAACAGTATTTCCATCTCTCTGTCTGTACACACAAACTGGAAGATTGACAATAAAGTTGACTTTGAATAACATACTCCAAAGTGATTGAAGTAAGTTATGATTTTTTACCTGATATTGACTCAGTCAGACTTGTCTCAGGCCCAACTAAAATGGGTTTGACTTTAATACTGATTGCAGGAGGTATGTGTTTAATGTTTTACCTCTAACTGGAAAAATGAAATGGCAGTTCACAAGTCAAATCTAGAGCTCCAACTTGAATTCCTTAAAATGCTTTGCTCTGCCTCAATAAGCTGCCTCAACAAACATAAGCTGTATTCCATTTGACACAAAGAAACAAAGACATTTGTACACATTAAATATAAATCATTTTATAATATACAAATTGTACAGATGTCATGAACAATAGGAATGTGGACATACTCAGGATAGCAAAGATAAAGAATACTTTTTTCTTCCTTGATAGCAAACACTGCTATGCAAGTGACAACAGCACATGATCAAAGATACTCAACATTCAAGATGGCAGCGAGGTGATAAAAACACATCAGGGACAAAAACCTAAGAATACATTTTCCGGAGGCTGTGAGCAAGCTAAAGTGACAACACAGGGAAAAAAAATGACGGCATCCTATTGTATCATGTTCTGTCATTTCTACTTTGCCCATTTCACATCTTAGTAGCACACAGGAAATGAACCATTACGTTGTATTTTTTCTTAACAGCGTTACCAAGAACGATTGCACCGGCAGCCATACTGAGACAATTATGCTGATAGAAGACAGGAAACTGTATATTACCCTTTCTTTTTTCTTTTACACAAATGGGCAGAGAGCTGCAAATGTATAAAGTCTAACATTACTCAAAGGTCTCCCTCTTTTCACGGACGGCTAACTTAACATGGTTCAACATCATTTAACTGATAGAGTGTAAGATCCTGCCTCGCTTTTCTCTCCCTGTCGTCTGTGTTTTTCTTTTTTCCAGGATAAAAAAAAATCACTATTACCCACAGTCCCTGGAGTGTACTCATGTCAGAGGTTAGACTGAGCTGCCACCAATCAGCCCTTATCAGGCAGACAAGGGGCCCTGAAGGCTACAGCCGCAGGTAGGACAGGCGGATACAGGACCGGTTGTAACTTTTGTCAAGGTTACGATCATCCGTGTTTGTGGATGTCCAACCGGAATGTAGTGGGAGTCAAAAACACAGTCATGTCACATGAGATCACCTCGCCGCTTAACTGATTTTCCAAGCCCTGCTCCTCTAGATGAAGTGGAATATGATCTGTCTGTTTTCCCAGAATACCAAAGGGGAATACATGTCACAGTTTTACGATTTAAAATAAAAACAGAAGTCGAGAATACTGATATTAATTCATATCTTTAGAACAGATAGATGACAGTAAGAATGTCTATCTTGACGCAGGGCGAAATGAAGAAATTGATTCAATCTGACGGATTAAGTTGACCAGAATTCACTGGGGATATTTCTAAAATAATGCTATTCATAATGATCTCGACAGCTATCAAAAGGCGTCTTTTGGTATTGCCTTTCATAATTCATTTTTGTCACAATTTGAATGTGACAGCTGAGTCTTATTTGCTCCCCAGCAGCATTGATGCAAGAGGGAGAATACAATATTTTCTTGAATACAATAAGTGCTTATTAAAGCTGAAACAGCCGATAGCTAAAAGCAGCTTGGAGAATTAAGTTAAAAAAAATGAAAATACCACAGAAGATATTATAATATGATTTGATATAATTCAATATTATCAGAGTGGTTATTTGTCATGTGCTCGTGCAAACTCCTGTGTACAGAATAGATCCATTCTGGCTCACATATGGCCCTTGACTTTGCTGCTATTAGCGATCACGCTCATGGGTCTGGACTCCGTCATATTGGAGGGCGAGAGGACAAGGAGCATATGTTTCTGTGGGTCCGCACACGGCAACCCCTTGGTTTTAACACAAACCACAGCCCTCGGGAGGTAGCTCAGAGAGTCAGCCAGAAATACATTTTAGCAAGCTTTAGAGCAACAGCATAGGCAACACAAAGCCTACAATAAAATCTCTAGACTCAAAAAAGAACATTCACAATAATAAAAAAAGTTCAAAACGTCTTAAAAATAACTCCAAAACATATTACCTTCATATAGACAAACACTTCAAATCTTTTTATCCCCTCACTCTGAATTCCAGTAATAAAAGAGGGAACAACGGCTTCAAAATACCAACACTGACTGTAGCAAATCTTTCCTGTTTGACTATAACAAACATATAACACTGAAATCACCATTGTGCCTCTAAAAGACATAGCTAAAAAGCAGATTGTGGGGCATTTACAGTATAGTAATAAGGCTAAGCTGGTCACAGTTTTTATATTCTACTCTACACAAAATCACTTGCCATTTTACATTGAAGAAAATCTCAGCGGCGGGTGGATTTATTGAAGAGAGCACTTATTCAGAGTAATCAATCTTACTTGTGTGTAATTGAAGAGTTTTATCTCCAAAAGGGAGACATTTTTTCTTGACCGAAGTATCAACTGTTCTCATAATGACAAAAGATCCAAATGATGACATATAGTATGTGTGAAGGTGGACTGCAGGTAGTTAAAGTGTGTAATTTCTTTGCAATATTTGATATTTTTTAACAAAAGCTCCTCCCCCTCAGTGCAAATGATTCCCTATGACATCACCGTTAAATCTGATGGCTATTTGCTTGACATGTTGAGGTGTTTTGCTGTCAATACATTCCCCAATAAGTGACCCCCATTACAAATTCATGCTTCCTGACAGATACCCCACTGACAAAACCCATTAGTGAGCTAATGAGAGCTCTGCGCCATGAACGTCGACACCTTCCTCCCTCCTTTTCACATCACCCCATCCCCTTTTTAAAATGGAAAGCTACACGGTGCCATGAAACAGCACATTATGACTTGGTTATTGTCAGAAATTATGTCTGGAAAGAGGTGCTTAAAGAGCTGGGGGTAAAATAATGAAGGAAATCTCAACGGGGAATGTGGAACGCAAACGGCCGTTACTTTAGATGAGCCTATTCATTTCTTTTATTTGACTCTCTTATACTTGGGTCTTTCTGTTAGGCTCTCAACGTCTGTCTCAATTTCTCTCTCAATCTTCAGTTTTGGTCTCAGTGAACAACAAGGCTGTGCTCTGTCCTGACCAAACATCTTAACCTTGTTTCCCTACTGACAAGAGCTTTTGTTTGTGGCCATTGGCTGGAAATGTAATTTAAAAAATACAACTTTGCCCAGAAATGAATCCTCACTCCTGTACTGTATGTGAAAGCCAACTAGGTGCATCAAAATATGAGTTCTGCCCCCGAGCTGCAAACATTCAGCTGAATTTCACATCCTTATCTGACTCGGCGTTGAATATGGAACATTCTGTATGCAAGGTGAGCTTAGCACACCACACCAAAGAGTGATTATCGGCTCTCTTTGAAGCACTTGACGGCTTTGAGCTTAGCGTAAACAATTATCTCTTCACCCTGCTTTGGATTGCCTTTCGCAACAAATGCCTTTCCCATCACCTCTACCACTGTCTCCTACAAGTTCCCTCCAACAACTTACTCTGCTGCACAGAACTAAGGAACTGGAAATGGTGGTGCAGTATGTGGTTACATGGAGATGCTTTCCTGAGCAGATTTTTTCTCAAACTGTCAGTCCTGTGGATTTGGGAATGTGTGAGCTGAATTTTCGTAGCTTCCGAAACTACGAGAAAGCTGCTCAGTACATGTACCTCTTGTAACAGGTGCTACCTCTGGGTACAAATATTAGCTTTATCCTTTACTGCCAGAAAACTTTCTCAATCACTGATCTTCTTTAAGTTTATCAAGTTGACCCTTATTATTTTCAATCTTACCTATTGCTGTTAAATTTCCCCACGGGGATTAATAAAGATCCATCTTATCTTATTCGAAAGGTCGGCATACAACTCTGTATTTGACATTACAATGAGAATCATGTTTCTTTCCCCACTCACGTGAAGCCCTGATCACACCAGAAAGTGTCTAATTTATCCACATAGCTATTGGTGATGTGGGACTATTGGCAGGACTGATTGATAAAGTCAGTTTCAATAACTCTCCTAACATTTTTTTCTGTCTGACAGTTTTTTTCTTCTTGATTTTCTTCTTTGTTTCCTCAACGTTGAACAGTGTTAGGACAGCTTACTATTGCACAACATTGTGTAAAATGGATAATACCTAAATTTGTTTCTCTCTTTGACAAACAAACCAACTAAATGTGATTTCATTAAAAGGAAAGACATTTAACTTTCTCAATTTCTGAAGTGACCAGGAATTTAAACAATTTCTCATTCTTCTTTAGTTGCAGGAAAACGTGCCCAAACCGATCAAGACATCATTCTAGATATTCACCCCCCGTTGATTCCTCTGCTCTGTCTTGCATTGTCTATACGTCCACTATACTGCACCAACATCTCCTGATATATACATTCAGTATGTGTGGTCATACAGTAGAGCTGATATCTGCTCTGTAGCTACACTATGGCAGGTTGCGGGGAATTGTTTAATAAAGATGGTAGGTTTGGAGAATGATGCAGCGATGGGGATCGAAGCCCCTTTTACATGGATCAGGGACAACACTGTGAACCATTCCTTAAGATATAGAAGTTAAGAGGTAGGGTGGGGAAAAACCTTGACTTGGACTACTTGGGGCTACTCTGGAGTCTCCTCTGAGCTTTGATTAGTTGGTGTGGTCTTTGAATCCGCCACATTTTCCTTGGCGATGACATCCACGCCTGCTGGTTCTTCTGTCTTATGTTTCATCACAATCTCTTGGCCCTCGTCTTTCTCCTCATCCGTCTCCACCCCATTTTCAATCACAACTTCTGCTACCCTCTCCTCCACCTTTTCTTTGGTCTCGCTCTGTGTTTCAACAGCCGCAACGATTTCCGTCACTTCCTGGACTTCTCTCTTTTCTAAAGGCTCTCCCTTTTCATTTGATCCCTCCCCATCCAGTGCTATCTTTTCTTCTTCCTCTTCTTCTGTGACGTTTTGTCCTTCTTTTTCTTCTGTCTCTGCTCCTCCATCTTTCTTTTCAAAAGTCTCTATGCTGATTTCAATCCCATCAATCATTTTGTCTGCCTCACTCCTCACCTCCCTTTCTTTCGATGTCTCGCTTTCTCTTGCTGCCTCTACATCTGTTGCATTCACTGCTTCCTCCCTACTGTTGTTTTCCTCTTTCTCAACATTTTCTTTGTCATCAAGTATCTTGGGATCCTCTGCATCTTTCTCGGTTTTAGTTTTCTTCTTCTTCTTGTTCTTTGCTGTTTCTTTGATGCAGTTCTTGTTGGACTTGCTTCGGGGCTTGAAGATCAATTTCTGAAACAAACGAAACAACGTTAACGTATGTGACGCATTAGCATGTCAGTGGAATGACTCGCGACTCTTAAAACATGCTTTTGGGCACAAAGCTTAATTAAGAATAGATCAACGTGAAACTAATATTGCACTGGGAAAACGAGCTAATTCAAATGAGTCTCATTGATGCCGGGAAGGAAATTGAGGCCATTTTTAGGGTCCCCCAGGCCTTCAATCTGACCAAACAAACCAGGAAAAAAATGTAATGCAATATATCCTCAATTACTTGAACAACTTCTGCAGGGTTCAACACACTGCAGGGACACAGAGTACTGAGATAGACTGCTAAGAAACGGCCAAGAAAATCTTGTTAACGCTAGCAATTCCCGAGTCTTAAGGCCTATTACATTTTTTTTCGTGATGGCAGTTTAAATTCGGGTCACAGAAAGCATCAACATGGATTCATTTCACAGTGGACAAAAGGTCAGCTTTAGAGGTTATTGTCACTATTCAGGGTCACGAAGAAAGTATTATCAGCTGTTTTTCTCCAAACAACACATCCGCTGTTGCTGAGGAGTTCCCAATATCTCAAACAGAAAGGGAGTCAGTTTGTTTTGTGTATTTGGCAACTTAAAACCAAAACAGCTGTTTTTACCACCAAGGTGGTAAAAGGTGATGTTGGCCTGGGATTTATTTCAAGCATGTGGCAGAAGACTGGAGGGAGACCCTGTATACACATTAGAAATACAGAGAGGAATGTGAGGTTGTGTACCTTGGATTCCCTCCTCTTTCGGCCCAAGACGGGTCTCTGCAGAAACACGATCTGTTTGGTGGACAGACTTCCATCACTGAAAGATTAGGACGGAGAGAGAAAAGGAACGTTAAGAGGATATCAGCTGAAAACGTTGGCAATTAGACGCAACATTGTATGTCTTCTTCTTCTTCAAACGTTTACTCTTATTTGTTGAAAAATATCAAATAAGAAAGGAGATAGAAATGAGCTTTTCCCACATGCTTTTTCAGAAACGATGTAACGACAACACTTCATAATTTACGAGATCCTTTGCTTAAAAAATGCTGCAGAACTCCAAGATAAATATGCATACATCATTTCAGTTATAGGCTTGAATCCTGAAATAACACAGATTGATCAACACTCTTTCTGACCTCCATCAAGATAGCCAAATGATGCTGGCAACCGTTCATGCTTCACGCTCTTATCTGACAGTGTAGGATAAAGGCTCACATTTGTGGCCCAACCTCTTCACTGCTGTCATTAGTCAGTGTCATTTCCCCCCTTATGTTTCAGCCTTGCAAGGAAATGGGTTTTTCTCATGCACTGAGGCGTATTTAGAAGTTTGCCTGAATGTCTGAGTGCAATTTTTCGAAAACCTTGAACTTCTTAGAACATGTATTTCTTCTCTGTTCCTCAATTCCCCAAAGATAATCCTCCATCCTATGAACATGTCACATTTCTGTGTTCAGAGGAGGATAATCTGCACAAGTGATCACACTGACAGATTAATTGTGGCAGGAAATGCAGATTCATTTCTGAGCGGGCTTCCTGTCTCTCGAGCTCTCTCTCCTACTCCTCTGTCTGTATCTTTGTCATTCACAACCTCCTTAATATTTCAGCTTTCTCTCTCCAACTAGCTGCTTACTTTTGCCTCTCTGCTGTTATCTCCTGGGATTTTTGACAGTTTTATTGTTTGTTTCTGCTTCATTCTTTTATTTATCTCTTGCCATTATTGGACGTGGCTTAAAATGAGATATGTTGTCCTGTGCTGTTATCTGACACAAGTTCAATAACACATGCACACGCCTGAACACACATACTCACAAAAGGTTAGGTGCTGTCTAAAGTTAAGCTGCCAGCTCAGCCCTGCACATGAGGACAGATGGCAGCTTTATGATCGCTGCAGAACCTTAAAAGCCTGCTACAAATCTTCCCTTTCTCAACATCAAATGGACTTGAGACTCCTCTAGCAGAAGGGCTTACTATCTTAACCATCCAAAGCCCACCACAACTTCTTTTTTTTCCATTACCGCCTTCCTTCTACCATTTATCCATAAGCTATTTTCTAGGCTGTCAAGAATGCTGGACGACTTCCTTTTCAAACTAAAGTTGAAAGCTAACTGGAGTTCCCATTAAGCCAAAGAAGAGTGGATGTCTTAGAAAATTACAGGCCTTTACCAAATCTACTTTTGGATGTCTTTGTCAGCCGTAACATATTACAACATTGAAGCCTTATGGAACAGGAATGGCCTGTGTTTATTTTAAATAACTGTACCTGTTGGCAGCAGAGAGAAGTCTACCTTCCCCCTTTGCTGCAAACTGACTCTAGTTTATAATCAAAAACCCTGAAAAATCTAATTCTGTGCTCCAAAATGCCAATCGTACTTCAAGAAAGACTCAGATTAAGACTTTATAATGTATATGCTGAACCCTGTTATAGTCTCTAGTACGTACATTTAGATACCTGCGAAAATGACCCAATGCGCCCGAACCTTGTTGTTTCCTTGTTGTATGTTCTGTTGTTCGACAATAAATGTAGTGGAATTCACAGTTACTGTAGTTAATGGCTCTAAAATGTAATTACCATCTTCATTAATTGAATGCGGTGAACAGAAATGCCTGCTCCGAGACAACTACATGAATTAATGTTGTGGAGAGAAGCCGCTGAGCACCAGTTAGCATTAATTTCAGACGTGGCTGAGATCACTGACACTTATCCCCCCCCAGATGAAGTACCGTCTGCAAACCCCTCAGACTACAAAAACCGTGCATTTGCAAATTTGCTATTAAAAGAATTGAGGAATCAACAGCACAAACACAAGTGTAATGAGTTTTGCTAATCTGAAATAGATCATCAACCATTATTTTGGCGCAAAATGTTACGAGGCAAGGAGAGAAATGAGCTCCGTCTCGTACTGTATCTAGGCCGACTGATTAATTAGCAATGTTGTGCTGTTGTGTTTTGGCTTTTTGAGAGAAAAGGAAAGTAGAAAAAAATCACAAAGGATGAAAATAGAGAGGTAATTAATCAGCTATGCTATGAAAGAGCAGCAAACATGACCAGCTGAGGTCGGAGCCGAGCTAACAGTATTTGGTCAGTGTACTGATGGAAAGACTGCATGTATACTTTGTCAGTTTGACACAACTATAAATCTACTGTAACAATATACCAATGAAAATCAATTAGAAAACAAAGGCTAAAGCTTATGATAGGAGTATGTTAAAATAATCTCATTATTTTGGCTAGTTAAAACAATCTTTCCCATATTCAATTTTCTTGTCTTCCTAGACAAAGTGCAAAATATTCTGCTGCTCTGAGATTGTGACTCACTAAATAATTGAACAGCATATTACAAAAGCGCTCAGAATTTACAAATGGTCCAATTTGTGCATGATGGCCCTCCTGCGGTCTGAGTCACTATTTACAGCAACGGGCATTGTAACATCCACCATGTTGTTAAATCTGTGAATAAGCTAGTATTGTCAGATGTCTTTTTTTCTCAGCCCTAAATGTGCTTACTAGAGTATTATCTACATGAAAACATTTAATAAACAGCTGTTTGTTAATTTGTTTAGTGTAATTTAGATTATTTCTGAGTTAACAAGGTACTTCGGTCTTTTCCTTTCACTGGTTTGATGAGACTTCAGTGTTCTGGAGTGGGATATTTCACTGTTGCGGACGGTACATTATCATTTTGTTGAAGAATAAATTGTGTCTTGAAGTAAGGCTCTCCGGGGTGCCTGAAGAACATGCAAAGCCTTTGACCAAAAGCGGATGTACACTCATTTAGCAGGCATGAGTGATGAGTCAGCACAGGCTAAGCTGAGGAACCGTTACATTCGAGGCGAGAGATTTTCCACCAACAGTCAGAGCTGCTGCTTTTAAACCTTCACAGCTGATGCTGCTGCTGCTGCTGCTGCTGCTGCTCGGCTCACAGATTAGCCTAAATTGGCACAGATTTAGGTCAATTTATTCTAGAAGCCATATTTCTTTGAACAAGAACTTGAACAGATAACGTGTTTTTAATACAGTTCCTAGTGTTTTCTTAAAGAGTTATCTCCCAACAAACCAAAAGAAAGTATGTGCATTATTTGTTAACACTGCAGTGATAGAGAGATGTTGTATTAGATGTAAAAAAAGCTAAAAAATAAATAAATGTATGAACTCAGAATTGTCTTGTTTTTAAGCTTGGTGACAATGCACTTTTGGGATCCTCCAGTGGGTTGTTAAATGATTGAGGAGCAGAGCTTGAACAAAATAAAACACATTTACGACTTACGACTACAGTAAATAAAATGGTAAGATACTTCTACTTAAATTGAGATAACTTTATTCAGATCTCTCACTGCATTCTATTATTGATCTTTATTCCATGTTATCCCTTTTGCATTTTCTTTTTTCTTTTTATATTTAAAATCATATTTACTTCTTTCTTTTAAGATTAGATTAGTTTAGATTCAACTTCATTGTATTGCAGTACAAGTAACGGGACACAGAAATGCAGTTAGCATCTATTAAGAAGTGCAAGAGAAGCAGTAAAGTGCAGTGTCATATCTGTAAAGTATAGGTGCAATGAGGTTTTTTAAATATGCAAGATATAAAAAAGTCATATACAGTATGAATGCGTATAAGCTCTATAAACAGTATACATATTGGATACAATGAGAAAGTGTAGTCACTATGGACAGAATAAATATGAAACACTAAGACACAGTATTGACAATTGAATATGAATAAATATGAGTACGCTATATAAGATATAACCAGTTTGGACAGTTATACAAATAAGATTATTTTAATTAGTCACAGATAAAAGAATACAAAGGACATATGTACATTAGTATTCAGTCCCTAGGAGACACATAAATCATCAGTGGCACAGCTAATTGGTTTAATAAATCACATGATTAGCTAAATGGAGATCAGCCATGTGTTCTGAATACTTTTGACTATTAAATTAGAAAAAGGTAAAGCAAAGGCTTGTGGAAGTCAGAGCAGTTTCTTCTGGTTTCCAACAGGGGTCATTAGTGGTCATAGATGACCTAATGTCCCTTTTCTTGGTCCCATAAGTGTCATTACCTGTTGGTCTTGATTACAGGAGTTGGCAGCACACAGGTGAGCCTCCATCCATACGTGGCCAGGGACTGTAGCAGAGGAACATAATCTGCCTTCACCTGCAAACCCTGTGGAGAAAAACATGTCCATTACAACCCGCAATCAACCAAAACAACTTGAAACCTGTTCATGATCCACACTCTTATCCCTTTAAACACCACGTATGCTGCACAATGAACAGTACGTATGCATCTTATGTAGCAGAGTGCATTCGCTGCTCTGATTACAGCTGTGATGCAACAAGGTAAGAGATGTAATCAGGCACTGTCAGCTTCGCTTTAAATCTCAGTTAAAAACAACCCTTTCCCTCTCAGATATGATTGCTTTAATACTATGAATGTGTGCAGATGGAGAGGTTATTTTATAAAGCAATGTACACAGGAAAGATTAAAAACTGAGACATAAAGCAACTGCTGCCGAAACTCCCTTGTTGCCATGACTCTACACGGCAGCCATCTCTATTCATGACAGGCATTTGTCAGCACAGTAAGTCCTTGAGCAAATAGACTGCTCATGTGAAACTGCTCATTTTGTGGTAAACATTTAAAAGCGTTGAGTCAAGAAGGGATGAAACACAAACATGAATATGCTTATTTTGACTTGGACAATGAGCCTGTTAGCAGTTCAAACTGAAATACACAGATGAGTTAGAGAACACACACACACACCCAGGAAGTGTGCATGTGGTTTGACATTCTTGCCGTGTGATGCACCTGCCAAAAATGAGAAACCTCAACGCGTGTCAGTTAGACTGCACGCATGTACAAAAACATACACGCACACGCACACACGCGCAGAGCTTCCAGTTAATAAAAGACTTCGCTCGAGGGACGGCTCAATGTTCTCCAGAACATTCCCTGAACCTATGGACTGTGCGAAATAAAAGTCGTTTGAAAGAGTGAAATAAAAGTCTCACCATTCGGGCCGTTACCTTTTTTACATAAATTCTAGACCGTTTCCTTATGGTGTGCAGTTTAAGTACTGATATGAGTCAGGAAGGCAGTGAACCTGAACACAGAACTTCACAGAGTCTATTCATATTGCACTGATCAACTGTACAAGAACAGAGAATTGAGAATACATCACACCCACATGCTACATTAGCCTTCACTGTACTGTGAACTGTGAAAATGTAGTCTAATTAAAGCCTCACCAGGCGAGGTGTTCATGTGAATATACTGTACACCCGCTTTTATTAGCCTCTTTCACTGTTTCCTTTTGTCCCTGAAGGAGCCACACCACAGAGTCGAGAAAATCAGGTGACGCATAAAGACTTCAGTGAAATACAAAAGCAAAGCAGGACCACAACCTCTTTTTCTTTCTTTGTGTAGAAAACATAAAAGCCCCGAAAAGCTATTGTTGTGATAACCAGGCTGTTTGTTTGTGTGTTTAGTACTCATCTTACCAGTACTGTAGAAAAGGTTTCATTGTACATTTCTCCATGCTCTGGTAACAACTGAACATAGGTAATAGCTTTCTTAAAGAAAATATTTCTGTATGAATTGTATTTCATAGATATTAGTAAACCACAATTACAAAAGCATCTACTATGACAGCTATACTAATACACTACTGCCACTAATACTACTATTGCTTCTACCACTGTGTCCATAACTAAATGTTTATTTAAATTTTACTACAGTCAGCGTAACTTACAGTATACATAACTAAATCGTATACCCTCGATTGCAACTGTCACTATCATTACCACAAATAGAACAACTGCTTATATTGCTACTGCCTATATTTTATAATAATTTTAGAGCCGCAAAGATTAATCCATTAGTTGTCAAACAAAATTCCCTGATCTCGCTTCTTTAATGTGAATATTTATCATAGTTTTGTTACTCCTTGGAAGACATTAGACTTTTATCTTTTGAGTTTTTGGACAAAACAACACATCTAAGTACGTATTTTTTCCGGCTTCGGGACACACCGATTGACATTTATTATAATAAAAAAACAAATTGGCTAACTGAGAAAAAAAAACAATTGTTGGTCTCAGTCCCACTTTCTGCAGTAGTTTCGTAACAAAAACTACTTTTACAACTGCTACCATTTTAAAGGTGACCTATCATGCAAAATGCACTAGTGTACGTCTTTTATACATGAATATGTGTCCCCGGTGTTCCAGGGAACTCACCAAGTGTCAGAAAACACAACCCTCTCTATTTTCCTCCATACCCAAATCTCTTAAAAAGGGGCTGCAACGGATCTGATCCAGATTTGAACACTTCTATGACGTCACAGAAGTGGCGCTACGGCTATTGGGCCAACTCCACCAATCAGGAGGAGACAGCCACGGACATTGCCTTCGAAAGCACTGGAGACACTGTAGTACATATGCCAGGCCTGTAGGTGGTGCTGTTCTCACAGAATCAGCCCATGCAAAGACAATGTTAAATTGAGCGAAATGAGGAATGGCTAAAATGCATGATCTGTTTGGTAATTTGAAAAATAAAAAGTATAAATATGTCTTATATAGGTATGGTCCTACACTGTATTATTCAAATATAGCATGATAGGTCCACTTTAAATTACTATCACAGGCAATTCTCCTACAAGTAGTAAAACTGCATCTACTGCTATCCTTTGAGATCTGACTTCTACTTCTTCTGCTATGATGAACACCATGACTACAGTACTATTACCTCTACTAAGTGTGCATTAGGGTCCAGTGGGTGGTCATACAGGGAGAATCGGTGCATTTCTGAGAAAGAGAGACTGATCATCATGCAGTGCTCATTGTCTGCCATGAGACAGACCTCAAGTGAAAACACTTAAACGCACTTCACCGCACAACGCCTCATTTCTCTTCCACAGATCCTTATTGACCAGGACGACAGAACATGCACAAACAGAGCAGAAGCAGTCGCGTATAACGTTGTAGGTTGCAAAGAGCTAATCGTTAGAATACGAGACACTGCTCCAGACATTATTTACACAAGCATTACTTTGTAAGTTCCTACGGGGAGCGGCGCATCTACATTTTTCTTAGGTTTATGTTGGAACCACTCCCAGAAACAGGCTCTGCTTCAAAGCCTGCCCGGAAAGAAAATTGAGAAATAATTTTTCTGTAATGGTGCTGTTCTTTGGAGTAGGTGAGAGATAATCACAGTCCTCAGAGTCTGGCTCCCCTCTCTCCCCGACTTATTATGCAGGGCCACCGCGCTGCATCAGCACTATTGCACCAACCTCTGAGCCTAAAAAACAAAGTAATCTCAGCGCCATCTTTGTCTTCGATGTTATCTGTGTGACTATAAAGAAGGATTGCACGGTAAGAAGAGAGTAGAGGTGTAGTGTAACCAGTTCAGGTAAAGCTACTATAAATTGAAACCAGTTTTTTCTGGAGATCATGTCGTCACACTGATCAACACATTTGTACCTTGGCTCAGCGAGCTTTAAACACATAAAGGCACTTAAAGGCATCTCAGTAGGAAAAGAAGATGTCAGTGACTTTCACTGTAAGCATTTTCCCTGCTGTTGATGGTAGCTGCAAGTGCTCAGACCCACTTCTTATCTTTGAGATGTTGATGCTAAGCCACTCACACAGCAGGTATGGAAATATATTATCCGGTGTTTGAGAACTTGTACCTAAGATAAAGTTTGTTTTTCAGGCCTACGGTGGAGTGGGTGCAGCTGCAGGTCAATGGAGTTCAGAGTGCATTTAGAGAGTTAGCTTAATAAAAACAGCAGTATATTGTTTTTCTTTAAACCCACTCCACCGACTCTGAAAGGTAGACATAACAAACCATAAATCTGTTTTGCAACCGCTCTGAATATAGCTTTGGTTCTGCAGACGACAAGGGGTCAACAGATTCTGCAGACACAGCCCTGTAATGATGAAGCAAATACCTTTTTAAAAAAAGGGCGTTCAGATTCTGTTACTGGCGGCCTCGCTCAACCTCGAGCGTTGTCACAGCAACAGAAAACCCTTCATACAATCTTTTTTAAAGCACTGCAATATAAGTGGGTCTGGCTGTTTCAATAGCGTTTAAAAAATAATAATACTTTTACAATTTCCTAACTGTTTCATCAGACCAGTTCTGTTTAGAATATATACAAGCTTTTTAGCAAGAAATTATCAATGCCTCCTAATTAGTACTCAAACTAAAGAATGACCATCTTGACCAAACGAGCACAGCACAAGGTTCATTTGGTAATTGTTCTGGAGCTTGCAATCGAACAAAATGGTTTTAATTGTAGGTGTTCAAATTAACATTTGTATGGGCACCAATAGAACTTCTTGTCCATGTTAGCTGGTAAAACTGTAGCCTGTAAGTTCATTCTTCAACCTTTGAAACATAATTTGTAGGTGTAAGTGAGAGAAACGCCCCCACACGGTCCAATTTGCAGCTGTTCCAGAGGTGTTCTTTGTTTCACAGGCTCTAAACATACCATACCAATGACAGCTATGCACCATCAAGGGACCCTTTTCCCTGCTTAAAGTTGCATTGCTTCTAAAATATTACAGCAAATAAAGACATGCAAAGTGCATCCGAACTTTAGACTCTTCAAGGCATTAGTTTGCATTTCAGTAAAGACCAAACCATGCAGCCTGATAACACATGATGATGTAGCTCAGAAAACAAAGGCTGGCGATGTTACTGTTGCTGTTATCATGTGCTTTTGCAAGGAGAAGAAACATTAGTATTTGATGATGGAAACTGATAACTCAAAATGGGGGTTTTTACGAGAAGACACATTTGAAGAAGCAATCCAAATTATTTATAAAAACAAAAGGCCCAGAGCAAAATTCTGACAGGGGAGCCCAGAGTGTCTCTCTGCTTCTCTGTTTTTTTGGTTTTGTTAAATTAGCCTGCCAGCTTGTAAATTGACTCCTTTAACCACAACCTACTTTAGAGACGAGAGGAACAATAGATTAAGACAGTTTCTGTATCACGTTAACCTCAAATCTGCATCCTTAGACAGCTCTTTTGGTCGTCACCACACCGGAATATTTTGTATGTCTCTTTAGCCTGGTTCTTATATCAAGCCTTTTACTGAGGACCTCCATGACATTGATGCTAGGAAGTGATGGGACAGTTAACTCAGATCTTTTACTTAG